TCAGGTTCACCAGGCATTGTGCTACACACCTGTAGTCCCAGAGTCGGAGACAGGAGGGTCATGAGTTTGGGGCCAGCCGGGGCAACATAATGAGATGCTGTCTCAAACCAGGCCCTGGTCCAGAAGATGACAAGCTAAAGTACTAGCCTCCGGTGCTGCCACCGGGGCTGTGTGAAAATGCCTTTCTCCCTCCCTTCACAGCCCTGCCTTTTTCTGCTGATCATTTTTAGTTCTCACTGTCTTTTGTGTTGATCTCCAGAGGCTTAGGGAAAAGAAAACACAACTCTGACCCAGCTGGATTTAGCCTGTCTGATGTGAGTCCATTAGGCCTACATGGGACAAAGCAGTGCACTCCTTCTACTAATTGTCATGAGTGTGAAGCCTTCAGCAGGTTTTGGGACTCCTTGAACTTCAGAGGGCTCTGATGGCTGCCTCCTTGTACTAAACAGGCATCCTGGTAACTGATTTGGTGCCCAAACCATTACCACCTATCCTTTAGAGAAAGGTTAGACCTGGCTTTAGGAGAAAAGAATTCCCTCCCTCCCTCCCTCCCTCCCTCTCTCTCTCTCCTCTTCCAAATGGCAAAGGGCAATTTAATTTTGATTTTAATCTAAAGACAGATCTGACAAAGCCATCCCCTGTTGCTTCCACAAGTGAGAAACCGGCTGCTTCTGTGCTAGAAACTCAGTGTGAATTGGGTCCCTTGGTCGTTTGCTGCCAGTGAAAAGTAGCTTTGAGTTGGTTCTTTGTGGCCAGCGCTGTCTAACTTTGGGGAGGAGCAAAACTCAAGACCAGAGCATTCTGGGAAACCTGGCCTTGATTAATTTATAGATGTAATTTAAGAGCTTGGTCCTTCTGGTCCTTGGGATGTGTGTTTACTGAGCCTCTAGACATGACCACTCTCTGCTCTAGGATTTTTTTTTCTTTTTATGGCCTTTGCTATGTCACAGCAAAAGTTGTGGATCTCCTATGAGCAAACATATTATTATGTCCAGAGGAGGGCTGGCATGTTATAAAGTTTCAATGGTCAATTAACAAAGATTTATTCTTTGTCACTTAGGTATTTTCTTCCCCCCCCCCCCCCCCCCGCCTTTCCCCCTCTGTGCTCTGTAATTGCCTCTTGGAATAAAGCAGGCTGCTGTCCTAGGACCCTGTCTGGTTGGTAACTCTTAGCTAGAGAGCAGGATCCGAGAACCAGTGTGGGTATTTATTTTCCCTCAGTGGGGCTGGGCTTTCTGCTTTAGTGAAGTGGACACTTAAACATGGGGCCAGACCAAGTGTGTGTGAGAGACGGGGTGGGGGTGAGGGAGTGGGGGGAGGCAGGGAGGGAATGTATTTTTTAAAGCACTTCAGTCTATGTTTACTACGCATTTATTTGTAGGAACCTCATTCCAGCCAACTGTCCGCAGCCCCAGCCCCACCCTTTGGATGGCTTTCCCTTGTGTCTTAATTTGGAATTCACACAGGGACCTCTAATCACTACAGGTTTCTTGGCCTATTTCAGGCCCATATATAGATGATTATATACTTACAACCTGCCAGGCTCAGGGCATCTCTGTTTCAAAATTGCAACCCAGAAATCAAGGTGAGCTGTACTTTGCATGTATTTTTATTCCTTGCCCCTCCCCCACCCCCCCATGGGAAGACAAGTGTTTTGACATCGTATCTGCAGAGTTAAACATGCTGTAAGAGAGCCTTGACTAGCATTGTGTAAATCTTGTTTGGTGTAGAAGATTTCACTTTGCTTTCAAATAGAAGAGCTGAGCCAATACTGGACTTTCGTCTCTCATCTAGAACTAATTCATGAGCTAATCCATTTTATTTCAGCTTGCTGTGAAAAGTTGCAAACCCAAGGGATTTGATTTGCCTGGGGCCCACGGGGGCTCTGGGGGCTGGGTCGCCAGAGCAGGGGCTGCCTGCCTGCCCCCTCTGTCCAGTCAACAGCCATCTAACTTGCTTCCCGCACTCCCCCCCCCCCCCCCCCTTTTCAGAAGTTAGGACAAGAGGCTGGAGCTGTCCTTCAAGGCTGATCACCCAGGGAGATTGATGGCTCAGGACAAGGCGGGGACCTCAGGGCTTGGGAGATGCTGGCATCCTCGGACTTTTTCCAAGATGGTTTAGGCCTCATTCTCTGACTTGTTTAAGGGCAGAGAAGAAGGTTACAAAGGAAATCAAAGCCTCATGTGGAGAAATGAAACCTGAGGCCTACTGACTTTTTAAAAACATTTTCAATAACATTCTCTGAGGTTTCATTTTATACCAAAAGCAGCTGTAATAAGTTTTGGAAGATGGTGTAAGGTTTCTATTAACATGAGCGATCCTGCTTGAAGTTTTTTTTGTACCCAAAGTGAGAAAGGGCTGAGGAGGAGAAGGGGTGGCTAAGAGGTTATTTCATATAAGGTGAGAAAATTTGAAAAGACGAATTCAAGTCTGCAAGCAGTAACGTTCACTATGCTGTAATTTGCAAATGAAATAACATTAAGCCATCACAAAGGGTTCTTTTTCCTTTTGGGTGAAAATAGTCTGGATAGCAGTGGAATAACTTAATAACTGGAGCTTAGCAGCGCTTTGACCACAAGTAAAACCAAACTGCAGCTCTGTACCAGGCTCTTCAGTGCCATCCCAGACATTGCTTCCCTGTGGGAGATTGGCACAGACGGAAGGGGGGAGATGGTCTCGTTCACTGGCACATTGGTAGCATCGTTGTCCTGGCATGCATAGAGTTTGCTTGTGTGGTTATTTATTAGAAACCAGTATGTTCAGGTAAGAGAACTTGGTACAGGGAAGATTGCATAGTACTTTTTGTTTTCAAGAAAAGACATCTTAAGCCAGTTGTCAGTATTTATCTGAACACACACACACACACACACACACACACACACACACTTAAACCAAGCCAGAGAGTGAATTGATACACCAAATTCACTTGAAAATAAACCTGAACAGTTGATAGGTACAAAAGAGCAGATTTTTGTCATCTGCATCTTTCCCCTTGCTGTTAAAGTTCTTGGTAGGAGGCCTCTGACTAGGGAGAAGGAGCAGGAGCGAGTACTCGTAGATTTAACTCTGTCCATCGCACCTGCCTTGGACCAGCTGCAAACAAACCTGAGTTATCCCTGACAGCCCAGTAGCCAGAGTCTGGCTTTCATGTGATGTTTGAAGAAACCCAGCTTTTAAGATGTTCTGCTCACAAAAATTAGTAGGCTTGCCGGGCACAGTTGATTCATGCCTGTAATCCTAGCAACTCAGAAGGCTGAGATCTGAAGATCATGATTTGAAGCTAGCCCAGGCAGGAAAGTCCATGAGACTCTTATTTCCAATCAACCACCAGAAAACCGGAAGTAGAGTTGTGGCTCAAAGTGGTAGAGTATTAGCCTTGAGCAAAAGAGCTCAGGAACACCGCTCAGGACCTGAGTTCAAGCCCCTGAGTTCAAAAAGAAAAAAGCAAAAAAAATCAAGCAAAATTAGTAGGCTTAACTTCTGGGTTCTTTGTTCCGCTTACACAGGAGATTAGGGGGCAGATAAACGACTCCTTTGGGCACTGAAATCCTTCTCTTTATGGTGTAGAAATGCACGTCTAGGAAGTGATGCGAGATTCTTGAATGAAATGTGTAAGGGGAACCACTAGTTGCATCTTCTTTCTTGTGAAGAAGTTTTTGAAGGTCCAGCAGTAAAGTCAGTTTGCATACAGTCTGGCTCTTGTTCAACAGATTCCACCATGTGGTATTTTCATCTGAAAGTTCCAAATGTAGAAAGACTTAGCTAGCCATCGTTCTGACTTGCTGTATCTAGCCCAGGGCACGGGGATTGAGAGCAGCCTGGAGACGCCCTTGGTGTGGTAAGATGCTTGGGGTCTCCTCTTAACTGTTTTTCAAGTTGGGACAGTCACACCCACAGGGGACCAGTATGTGCAGGTGTGGGGGGATGGAATCCTGTTTGTGAATGGACCAATGATTGGGTTCGATGTGGTCCTGGACAGATATGCCTTCTAGGAAGGTTCTAGTAAGCTTGTAATTGGAGTGCTTTAGTAGACAGGCCACAACTCAGTAGTCTGGTCTTTATCGAATTCTTATTGCTTTCTTCTTCATTTCATTGTTGTAAGAACTTTTACAATGAAATCAACTGTCCTAATACATTTTTAGGGGTGCTAGTACTGGAGCTGGAACTTAGGGCCAAGCCATGCCCCTTAGCTTTTTCACCTAAGGCTGACAGTCTTCTACCACTTGAGCTACAGCTCCACTTCTAACTTTTGGTGGTTATGTGGGGGTAGAGGTTTCATGGACTTTCCTTGGTCTGGGCTGACTATAAATCGTGATCCTCAGATCTCAGCCTTCCGAGTAGCTAGGATTGCAGGTGTGAGCCACTGGTGCCTGGTCTTCTAGTTTATTATTTATTTATTTTTATGCAAGAGATGCAAAACGTCTCAGGACATCTTAGAAATGTATTAGGAGACCTTGTGTGTACATGGGATCCACCTTAAAAAGTTAGTCCAAGTCAGGTGCCTGTGGCTCCCACCTGTAATCCTATTAAGGAGGCTGAGATCCGAGGACCACGGTTTGAAGCCAGCCTAAGCAGAAAACTCCATGAGACTCTTAGTTCCAATTAATTATTTACTCTTAATGTTAAATTTGTGATTAAGGTGTAGTTTGGAGCCCACCAAGCCAAATAAGTGAAGAGATGACCATTTATTTGTCTTGCACATTGTTGAAGTCTTTGCCATTGTTTATTAGGTACCTGCAGAGAAACAAGATCTTGGGGTATAATAAATTCTTTTCTAGATTTTTCTAAATAAGCATCCTCCAGACATCTTTTTTGAAGTCCCTTTTGTTGTGTTTCTCTCCTCCCCGCGCCGCCCTTCCCCTCCCTCCCCCCACCATTATCCTCAAGAAGTGAGCCAGCAGAGCCTATTGGGCTTGAGTTCCCTGACAGACTTCTGGACAACACTGCCTATTTCTTGGTTTCTCCTTTTCCCATCTTCAGTCTTCTTTTCTCCTCCTCAGAGCGGTCGCCACACCGGCCCATCCTCCAAGCTGGGCTGCCTGCAAATGTTTCCACGGTGGTCGGAGGGGACGTGGAGTTTGTCTGCAAAGTTTACAGCGATGCCCAGCCCCACATCCAGTGGATCAAGCATGTGGAAAAGAATGGCAGTAAATATGGGCCCGACGGGCTGCCGTACCTCAAGGTTCTGAAGGTAAGGATTTTATGAATCCTATTAAGAGGCCCACAAGTGAGACCTTCTTTGTAGATTTGCCCAGATTCTTTGATTTCCTGTTGAATGTTAGAGAAGGTTGTCAGTTAGACTGGACAGTAACAGTACGTGAAAGAATTGGCAGATCATTGAGGTTAATAAAAATTTCTGAAGAATGTGGGAAGCCTTAACTAAACAGTCAGAATAGTTGAGTTATCAACCCTGAGATCTTAGATGAGATATTTCGTCTTAGCCAAAATCTATAAAGATGGCATCGTGATACTGTCTCCCCTGTAGGGTGGCATGGAGTAGATGGAAAGAGCTTGGAAAGATTGAGACATCATACTCATGTTGTTAATCTGATGTTTTCTACTGATAGGATGTTAGGGCCAATTTTTGTTAGCTAGCCATATTTAGAAACAGGTGGGTTTTTAAAACAGTAATCCTTTATAATCCATTCACATGTTATTTAGCTAGTTATGAGTGTGTTTCTGTACCTGTGAAATGTTGAACCAGGACAATGTCTTCCTCCTTATATTTCTTGGGTTTTGTTTTGTTTTGTTTTGTTTTGCAAACCCCCATCTTCTTGGCTTTTGCCTTTCTAGTGTTTTAGTTCCAGCTTACTCTCCAGGAGAGCGTGCACCCATTGAGCATATACTGTGAATTCTTAGCACAACACCTGCTTTGTCTTCTGTGTTGAGTTGCTTTAAAAAGAATGGTTTTGCCATTGGCTCATGCCTGTAATCCTAGCTACTCAGGAGGCTGAGATCTGAGAGCAGCCCAGGCAGAGGCTGCCAGAAAGCCAGAAGTGAATCTGTGGCTCAAGTGGTAGAGTGCTAGCCTTGAGCAAAACAAAACTCAGGGACAGCGCTCCAGCCCTGGATGGCACAGGTGCCGGTGGCTCACGCCTGTCATCCTAGCTACTCAGGAAGCGGAGATCTGAGGATCGTGGTTTCAAACTAGCCCAGGCAGGAAAGTCCATGAGACTCTTATCTCCAGTTAGCTACCAGAAAACTGACCTGGTGCTAGGGCTGAAATGGTAGAGTGCTAGACTTGAGTGAGAAAGCTCAGGGACAGTGCCCAGGCCCTGAGTTCAAGCCTCACAACTGCCACAACAAAAAAGAACTAGAGATAGCTAATGGAGAACATTCTACCAATGAAGTATTCTCTTCAGCTAACAAAACTCAGAATCTAAAAATCTGGAGAAAGATGGCGACTGTCCTGGGGACCACTCACCCACTCACCACCCTTCTCCATCCTTCTCTACCAGGTCCCTTCCATTGTCCACCACTGGGCTTTAGTTTGCTCTTCCTCCATCCACAGCTCTTTAGAACATAATGGAGGTTGTTTTCTTGTGGTGTGTTGGTGGTGGGACCACAGACAGTATTGAGTCTTCCAGGTTGGCCATTATATCGTTCTCCTGTGTCTATTCTAGCACTCGGGGATAAATAATTCCAATGCAGAGGTGCTGGATCTGTTCAATGTGACTGAGGCGGATGCTGGGGAATATATATGTAAGGTCTCCAATTATATAGGGCAGGCCAACCAGTCTGCCTGGCTCACTGTCCTGCCCAAGCAGCAAGGTAACAACGTTTTTGGTTTGTTTTTTGTTTTTGGTTTTTAAAGAAAACTGGAAATAGAAGCTGAAAAGACTTGGTGCTTTGGGAGGCTTCAGGCAGCTTCTAGGATAATTCTTGTGGCCTTGGTACATTGATAATGATCTTTCTTTGGTGGTGCAGCTGGTATGATGCCAGCAGCCATGGAAAAATGCCCACAACGTTCAAAGTGCCTGCTCGTAATTTCGTCTGAAGATTACCTTCCACCTCCACCCAGTTTTTAAGTCGCTCCTTCTGGTTTGTCTGGTTTGGGCTGCACATTTCCCAGGGTGGTTGTATACTAGCATCATTTGAAACTTAGGCCTACGTTCCTATGGAATTTGTAGCAGGATTCATATCTCCTTCACCACAATTACAGGCATGATAGAATTTGTCCAGAGAAATGTCATTCCTTTGGTTCCATGGCTGATCCTATGCCAAATTCAAGAACCATTTCTCTTTTCTGAGGAATGTTCCGCGGGATGCTCTTGAAGGTACCCGGGCTGATTTTCTTAGTCTGTCCTGACTCATCTTCAGACGCTGATATTACAAAAGAGATTTTAAAAGAAACTTTTCTTCTGTTATCAAGATCATGCTTTCTGCTATCTGCTTTCAGCCCTCTGCAAGACAAGATGGTTTTGGCTAAAGTAAAAGTTGCCGAGCCTGGTCAACTAAGACAACCACCCTTCCTGGTTGTTCTCACAGAGCTAGAGAGACAAGTGAGGCTTATGCCCTGAGCTTATCTGGAGTATTTTATTTCATCACACAGTAATTTAGATAGAACCATCCCTTTGTCAGTGTGGGAGTCTGCAGCCAAACAGGACCAGAACCCCAAATTAGCCCCTTTGGGCACTCTGTGTATTGGAAAACGACCCCTCTATCCAAACCAAAGCAAAGGCCAGCAGAACGGTGCTCTGTGGTGCTTTTTCCATGTGTCTGATCGCATGCATGTCTAGGTGGTGAAGCCGGTGTGGTGACGGGCCTGTGGAGGTGAGCTGGCCGGTGTTGCTCAGCATCTCTCGGTTGTGGGCTTTTGTGGATGGGCTGCAGTCGGAATCTTCCTGGTGGCCAGCACCCCCCGGAGCCGCTGGTGCAAGGCCTCATGGTTCCAAGGCCCCTTCCACAATCATTCCTATGTCGTCTAGCTGTGTTCTTGCTTCCTTTGTTTTCTAGGCTGCCGGTGTTAACACCACGGACAAAGAGATTGAGGTTCTCTATATTCGGAATGTAACTTTTGAGGATGCTGGGGAGTATACGTGCTTGGCGGGTAACTCTATTGGGATATCCTTTCACTCTGCATGGTTGACAGTTCTGCCAGGTATATACTCTTCTTCCTTTCCGTGGGTTTTGTGTTTTCCCCTTTCTTTGGTTGATTGCTATAAAAGTAACACAGCTTCTGTGCTCAGAAATGATCCCTTGTATCCTGTGTATCAAGAATTTTCAAAAGATTCAAAATGGTCCCCCCCCCCCCCAGGGATCAGAGAAGTTGCCTTAGAAATTCACTTATAAAGAGATCCCACGCTTTCTTTTATGATCAAGTCAAACATGCACCTTTAAAACCCAGAGGGATGGTATGCTTTCCTGGTGAGTCACTGAGCCCATCCCCTACCTCCATTCCTCTTAAGAAAGAAGTTGAAATTACTTGGTAAAATGCGAAGTAATTTTTTTCCCATTGCACATGCCATTTGGCTAATAAAATCTTAGCATTGTATCCAACTTTGCTTGTATCTTGGTTAAAAAAAAAAAAGAAAAAAAAGCAAAACCAGATCTCTATTGAGGTGCCCTGGAGAAAGCACCTCTGAATTGTAGGTGTACAGAAGCCGTGTGCTGCCTCCTTGAGAATCGGTGGCTTGTTGCATGTTGCGCTAGTATGGGCTTTGAATTTGCCTTTATTGCATAGCATGTCTGGGCCATGTTGGTCTTGATGTTCTTTCTGCCTTACGGAGAAATGAACATCAGGGCGGTGCTGTTGTCTACTTACGGCCTCTGTGTCTTTAACTGACTTCTCTAATCCAGCTTTCTAATCCAACTGTCCTCTGATGCATTGCCTTTCTACCATTTCCTTTATGAATGCCTTGATATTAATGCTTTGTTTTGAGCCTATAGAGCCTATACGCATGCTTGTTTGATATTTAGTAAGAAGTTGATCATTCCATTTTGTGCTGTGCGGCTGAGTGTTTTGACTAGCTTGCGGATGTGTTTATATTTTCCTGATTAAAACATATAAGCTTCAGATAATTCCATTGCATCCATTTCCCCTCCCCCCCTTGGTTGTGAATATTTTCTGTAAAACGAGATGTCTCTCATGTTGAGCTTGCTTTTACACGCAGTATTGTATTCCACCATTAGCACTTGCTAACCAATGTGCCATTAACAAAATGCAGTGACCGAGAAATACTGTTTGGAAATACCCTGCGTATAGTTAGGCCATTATTGACACATTTGTGGATATTGATATAAAGAAGATAATTAATTATGTATGTATATTGTGCTTATATATATTCACATACAAAACCATTTACATACTAGCTTAAGAGAAAAGTTATATGGATATATCCGTATAACACAGAAATTTGAAATGGTTGCTAAGAACTATTAAAACTTTATACATCCGGTTGTAATGATTTTATATCATAATCAACTAAGGAAATGGATCGTTTTGTTTGATTAGCTTTGTGAACTATATTAAGGAATTCCACCAAACTTTATTTGGCCAGCCCACTTAGAAGGAGCCTTTGGGATTCCTCTTGAGACTGAACTGCTCCTACAGTCTCCTTGGAATCAAAAGTGGGCATGTGCCTCTGGAAGGATTTTCAGTTTGTTTTGCATTCAGGGGCTGCCACGAAAGAGGTGTGGCTACAGCTGGTGGTCTTGGCCTACACAAATTCTGGAGGAATGTGGTTTCATAGCCCCCCTTTGCAGCACATGCTGGTAGCGGATGTCCCCTTAGGCTGGAGACAGTGACCACCGGGCCCTGGCATTCCAGTGAGGAGCACCCTTGTACTGGGGAGGCACAGGCAAAGAGACCTGTGGCCTCCCGGCCTCATCCCTCCTTAGCATTGGGTTATTAGAATTCCGTCTTGCCTTTTTGAAGCCTGTATTTTGCCTAGGATACATCAGTCCAGTGTGCTAACTCTGTGGCTTGCTTATCTGTTCCCCTCCTGTAACCTGCAATCTAGCTCCCGTAAGAGAAAAAGAGATTACAGCTTCCCCAGATTACCTGGAGATAGCCATTTACTGCATAGGGGTCTTCTTAATCGCCTGCATGGTGGTGACGGTCATCGTGTGTCGAATGAAGACCACGACCAAGAAGCCCGACTTCAGCAGCCAGCCGGCCGTGCACAAGCTGACCAAGCGCATCCCCCTGCGGAGACAGGTAACAGAAAGTAGATAAAGAGTTCAAAGACATTTACTCCTCCCCACAACCCAGCCAGCTCTTGGATCTCTTCCTTGGCTTTGATGACGGTGAACTCTATGTAGGACGGGTTCTAACATGCCACTCCGTGGCATCCGGCTCATTTTCAGAGATTGGAGAATCAGCTTGTAGTGTCTCCCTTGGGATGATGAATGGGTCCTGTTCTAAAGACAAGAAAGGACAGTGGTGGGGCAAGCAGAGAGCTCGTCAGTGGGACTGGGGACACTGGAGGCAGTTCCCTTTGTGTGAGTTTGACAGAACTCAAGTCTGATGGTCTCTTCAAAGCATAAGCATTTTACAAGTGTGTGTGAAAGACAGGCATCAATATTTGAATAGGGCTATACTATTATCAGAAGAGAGGCTTCAGAGCTCTTTGACTTTGTTTTGTTTTGGTTGGGTGTTTCATATTTTGTTTTGTTTGTGCTGGTACTTGTGCTTGAACTCAGGGCCTCATGCTCTCCGTTGGCCTAATCCCCTTAAGGCTAGCATTCTCCCACTTGAGCTACACCTTCATGTCTGGCTCTTTTTCTGAGTAATTAGACACAAGAGTCTCATAGACTTTCCTGCTGGCTTGGAACCAGGATCCTCAAATCTCAGCCTCCTGAGTAGCTAGGATTACAGGTATGAGTCATTGATGCCCAGCTGATTTATTGTTTTAAACCAAGATCAGAAAACGTATGGCCTGCAGGTTATATCTTAATTAGTTTATTTTAAACAGGTCCATGATTTCTTTCGAAACTGGGCTTTGGCCGAATCCCTCTGATTCTTAAAATAGCTTCATACACATCGCATGCATAGCCTAATGTCAGTAGCTGAACGGTGTGACCATGTATTCATGGATGATTTTGTTGGTGGTGGTAGTGTTAGTCATGGGGCTTGAACTCACAGCCTAGGCTCTGTCCCTAAGCTCTTTTTGCTCAAGGCTAGTGCTGTACCATTTTGAGCCACAGTTCTACTTCCAGTTTTCTGGTGGTTAATTAATCTCAGGTTGGCTTTGAACTGCAATCCTTAGATCTCAGCCTCCTGAGTAGCTAGGAGTACAGGAGTGAACCACTAGCACCCATTGGTAGGCTCATTTTTGTATGGAACTGACAAAGGATTGCTTTTAGCCTTGGGCTTGGTCTTTGGTGGCTGCTTGGCTTGTTTGTACCCTCTAATTGGTTTATTTGCTTTAGGGAGATGGGCTAAGATAGAGCCTCATATGGGCTATGAACCAAAGCCTGGCTGAGGTGAACAGTGAGAAAATGTCTTCTTTTCCTCATCTTTGTGAATGTGTAAGGCAAAGGTACATGTGAATGCATAGTCTTCCTGAAAGTATTTAAAACTGGTTCCAATAAAGTTATTATTGTTTTGAACAGAGCCAACAAGTTGGCTGTGTTTGAGTAGAATTTGAATATGAATGTACATGTGAAAAGTGCAGATTCATCATCAGTCTCAGTCCCACTCATAGAATTTCTTTTTTTGGGAGGGGGGGCAATCCTGGGGCTTGAACTTTGGGCCTGGGCACTGTCCCTAAAGTCCTCTTTGCTCAAGGCTAGCGCTCTACCATTTGAGTCATAGTTCCACTCCCAGCTTTTTTCTGTGATTAACTGGAGATGAGTCTCCTGGTCTTTTCTGCCTGGCCTGGCTTTGAACCTCTATCCTCAGATCTCAGCCTCCTGAGTAGCTAGGATTACAGGCATGAGCCACTGGCACCTAGCGCCCCCCCTTCTCTCTCTCTCTATTATTTTTATTGTTATTTATAAAGGTGATGTACAGAAGAGTTATGGTTTCATAAGTCAGGTAATGAGTATATTTCTTTTTGGACCATGTCACTCCTTGCTTCGCTCCCTCAGAATTTCTTATTCAGTAAGTCTTGGACAGGGCCAGGAGTGCACGTTCATCCCGTCCCCAGCTGGTTGTCAGAAGTACTTTGTGTAGTGTTCTTTCTGGACTGAGCATTAGGAAGGATTTGGACATCAGTGGGCTTGGCGTGAATCTGGCTCTTCTCAACCCAGCCCCACACTGCACACTGAATGGGTCTTTGTTAGCTTCCCATGTTTCCAGGAGGACTTTTTTCAGTGAGGCTGAGGATAGAAACTGGAATGTGTGTGAAGTGCAGGCAAATGACCGAATTATTCTAAGACATGGAGGCGCGGGGGAGGGGGGGAGAGGGGGGAGAAAAGAGGCTCATTAGGTTACTTTTGCCACCAAGAATGCTCTTGTTATAAATTGAGTGCTACCGCTGTCATTTGTGAGGCCAGTTAAGCAATGACGAGGGGCAGAGCCAGGTGCCTGACCAGTTTCTGGGAGAAACTAGTACTCTTAGACCTTGACCAGGCCTTGATCACGCTGTAGCCAGCCTTCCCCAGCATCCCTCCTGACCAGTTACCTCTGGTCAAACTTCCAGCCTCTTCCATGTTGGCTGATGGCTCACACCTGTCATCCTAGCTACTCAGGAGATTGAGATCTGAGGATCGCAGTTCAAAGCCAGCCTGGGCAGGAAAGTCCATGAGACTCTTACCTCCAATTAACCACCAGAAAACTGGAAGTGGTGCTGTGACTCAAGGGGTAGAGCGCTAGCCTTGAGCTGAAGAGCTGAGGGACAGTGCCCAGGCCCAGAGTTCAAGCCCCATAACCGACCAAAAAAAAGGGGGGGTGGGGTCAGATTCCTATTTGTGTTATTTCTTTCTCTAATAGGAGCAAAAGAAGGAAACCTGTAATTTAGCCTAGCTAGGCCCATTGTCCTATAATTATTGAATCATTTTTTGAGTAGCGAGTACATGCTCTTCTTTTTACTTTGTATAAAAGAGGCAAATGCTCTGAAAATCTCTTTGACGTAGCCTTAGTCATCGTGGTTTTCCTTCTCTCTGGCCAACTGGTGTTTCTTCTTTGCTTACGTCCCCCGAAGCTAGTCACTTTTCTCCTCCTTATGTAATCAAAGGAAAAACTAGGATTCCTCTCTCATTTTCTTCCTTCCTTTCTTTGACTCATTGTTCTTTGCTTGGTCTAAACCAGGTTCCACATGAGACATCGCCTGTTGCCTTTGGGCACTGGCCCAAAAATAAAGGCTAGCCTTTTATTTTATTTTTGTGCCAGTCCTATGGCTTGAACTCTGGGTACAAGCTGTCCCTTGAGCTCTGTCCCTGAGATTTATTTTCTTTTGTGCAAAGCCAGCTCTATACCACTTAAGCCACAGCTCCCACTTCCAGCTTTTTGTTAATTAATTGGAGAATGTCTTGGACTTTACTGCCTGGGCAGGCTTTGAACCACAATCCTCAGATCTCAGCCTTCTAAGTAGCTAGGATTGCCTTCTAAGTAGCTACCAGCACCTGGCTAGTGCAAGCCTTTATTTGAAGTGTTGTTGTTGTTGTTTTAAACAGGGTCCAATAGTGTAAGAGAAGCCCAGAAAAGTGAGCAAATATCAGTTCCCCTGGGAAAAATAGCTAGCTCAGAGATTCCTGGGTTAACATTGGGCACGCCTCAGCTCCTCTTCATATATGTCAAAAGGGGCCAGCTACTGGTCTTGCCCGGTGAGGACAGCCCCTCCTGTGGGGAAGATGCTATCAGATAAAAGGCTCATTGCATTGTGGCTGGAGGGAAAAGCCCACAAAGGCCAGCAGATAGGCTGATGACAGAGTGAATACCACAGGATGCCAAGCATGCCTTTACCTGACAGGTGAGCCTGTAATCAGAGGTCTGGAGGCAGCTTGCTCCCGGGCATTCCCAAGGAGGCCCCTTTCCATCTGGGCTCACCAAGCTCCTGTTGGTAGCCGAGTGCAGGCCCTGGCTCCCGTCTTCTCTCCCTGCACACATGCACACCTGCACGCAGCCTCTCCCTCTTCCCTCACTCAGCCCCACACTGTGGGGCTTCTGTTCATAGTTTGTCCTCCTCACGCTTACTATTCTGTCTTGAACTTCCGGTGTAACACAGACATTTCAGCTTAGGTTCTTTTTGTTGTTGTTGTTTCTTCTGAGACAAAAGATTATTACTTTTTTTCAGCGCCAAAGAAATTGTTCCTTGTGCTTCTTTTGCAGCAACTCTGTGTGTTGTGAGACTTTGCATGCATTTGATGGTTGGAGAAAGAGAAGCAGCTTTTGGGTGGGAGCAGACCCATGGCATGAGATGGTCAGGGCCCAAGGCCAGGGCCCCGATGCTGTGGAGTCACCTGCTTATTTTCTGCTACTCCTAGGGCATTCCGTGTGTTAAACAGGACCCACAGGAGCTAGTCCAGATGGGCCTCCTGGAATTCAGGGCCTCCTGCTTCTTAGACAAGTGCTCTACCACTTTGAGTCACACCCCTAGGTCTTTTGCTTTCAGTGTGTTTTCCAGATAGGGTCTCAGACTGTGATCCTCCTATCTGTACCTCTCGTGTAGCTGGGACTACAGGTATGCACCGCTGCACCACACCTTAGCCAGTGGGTTCTTATTTTAAGCCTGCTAGACAAGCCCATGGATATCAAAAGCAGCCTGGGTGCACTTTCACCGAGGGAAGGCCTTCACTTTCTGTGCTTTCTAAAGAGGTAGGCATGAGTGCAGAAGGGCCACAGAGGACACCAGTAGGTCTTCTGGAAGGTACGTGAACTGGAGTCTGAAGCTCCCACAGGGCAGGCTAGAGATGTAACTGTTGGTTAGTTCTGTCCAGACAGATCCTCACCCTGCCTGGCTCAGGTCCTTCCTTCGCATCTGCAGCTCACACCATGCTATGGGGGTGCTCTTGCCTCACCTTGTACTCCCCCCTCTACCACTGATCCAGGCAGAGGGAAACCCAGAGGAAATCAAGAGCATCTTGTAATGCTCACTTTCAGGTCAGTTATGTTCCAGGGGACATTAAAAGAGGATGGGGAGGAGGACCTGATTGGACCTTGTATTTCTGGCCTTTAAACACACCCAGCTCCACAATGGGAAGTTCTGACTCGCTCCCTGCTTGGCAGCCCAACAGTGTGATGGAGCCTTCGGGACTCCAGAGGGCGTTCGGGCGGCTGGAGTGGTCGTGGATGACCTGCCTGCAATTTCCCACAGCCACCTTCCCTTCCCTCCCCTCCCCTCCCCTGGACTGTCCCCAGCCTCTGAAAGACGCTTGCCTCTGATTCAGATCTGACCTGGATTTCGGCTGACCACAGCTTCAGGATGGCGTGTCGGTGCCGCCTCTCCGGTCACTCAGCCGGCCTGGGGAAGCAGAGGCTCAGGATGGGAAATACTAGACTGATTAACCACCTGCTCTAGTGATTTATATTTTGTTCTGGAGGGGAAAAAAGAAACATCCACTCCTAGAAGATCCATGCAGCTTCCTCTCGAGTGGAGGGTGAGGCCTTTGTGGGGAGCATACTGCACCCTGGCTTGGTTTGGGAGCAAAGGACAGGGCCACTGCTTGCAAGGCTGCGGGTTCTCGGGCAGGCAGTGGTCCAGTCCCACGGGGTTTGTCCATCTCCAGGAATAAACACCAGCGAGCTGCCCCTCCCCCACCAACCAGCATTTTACTTCCACCTTGTTCTCCTCCCTTTGGGGTCCCCCTAGGTGTCAAATTTAATCTCATGTAAAAAGATAACACTATTTCTTGGTGGCTGTTTAAAAAGGAAAGACAAAAAGAAAACCACTTCCTTGCTTAATTTCCCATCGGTACTGTGGAAATAGACGAAAAGCACATTTAGTTAAGAGTTTGATTTATGACACGTGGTAAAGAGATTCCCGAGAGTAAAGAAGCTAAATAGGAGACTGTGAAAAGTTTTAAACAAAACAAAACAAAAACATTTGCCAAGATTTGGGTGGGGAAACAGTTTACCAACGTGCTAGCATTTATTATCGATAAGTAACTTTTGTCTTACTAACAGTGGGGTATTTCTCAATTAGTTGGAAAGACCACTCCAGAACTCACCTTTCTAGGGTTGAAATGGTAGATTCTGTGACAAGGGAAGTTACGATTTGGTGTTAAGAAAAGAAAAAGTAAGAATCATGTGGCATGGAGGAAAAACTTCCAAAGTAGACAATGGGAACAGGGTTCGGGGCAGAGGATGCCTGGTACCCTGGCACCCTGGGGTGCTGTAGGTTTGGCCCGGCCCTTGGGACGGGACCCCTTTCAGAGGAAATGGAAGCAGAGAGAAAGCCAGCCGAATTTTACAGTCCCAGAGGGGATTTTAAAAGCATAGTAAAAATGTAGAGGTAAAATTAAGATACAGCTCAGTGGCAGAGCAATTGCCTTCCATACTTTCATACACTTAGGCCACTTTCTTACTCTTTTTTCTCCCTCTGGCGCTTTTTTTTTGGTGTGTGTGTGTGTGTGTGTGTGTGTGTGTGTGTGTGTGTACTGAAATGTGAACTCTAGGCCTTATGCTCTCCCTTGGCTTTCTACCCACAACTGAGGCTCTACTACTCCTGCTTCTAGCTTTTTGCTGGTTCATCAGAGAGTCTCTTGGCTTTCTTTGTCCGACTGGGCTGACTTTGAACCACAAACATCAGATCTGGCTTTTGACTAGTAGTTAGGATTACAGGCGTGAGCCACCAGCACCTGGCTTCCTTTCTGTTTTGTTTGACCACGCTGTTTCCCAGATTTGTACATTCAGTCTAAATCTCTGCACTTCAGCTGAACAAAATTCCAAGTAAACATGGCTTGATATTGTCAGAGTAATAACAAGAACAAAGAGTAAAGGTTTTCCATGTTTAGTTTTTGTTTGCTTGTTTTATTTTGAAAGCATCCATGTTAGAACCTTGTGGAAATGTGTTTGCTGTGCTTCGGGGTCATTCCCTTTGGGCCAGAGGTTTGCCACAGTCCAGTTAGTGTCAGATTGAACAAATGTGCCTGAGTAGTCCCTAAGCTGTATTTATTTATCATCCACACTTTGTCTGAGTGCTGGTGGCTCCTACCTGCAATCCTAGCTACTCAGGAGGTGGCAGTTTGGTTCAAAGCCAGCCCAGTCACATAAAGCCAAGCGACTCTTAATGAACCATCAGAAAGCCATAGTGGAAGCCAGGCCCTAGTGGCTCACTCCTGTAATCCTAGCTACTCAGGAGGGTGAGAGCTGAGGATTGTGGTTCAAAGCCAGCACGGGGATGGAAAGTCCTTGAGACTCTGATCTCCAAGGAACCTTGAGACTCTGATCTCCAAGAAAACCAGAAGTGGCCCTGTGGCTCAAGTGGTAGAGCACTCGCCTTGAGCTGAAGAGTCAGGGACAGAGTCCAGGCCTAGAGTTCAAGCCCCATGACAAAGAAAAAAAAAAAAGCCATGGTGGATCAGTGGCTCCAGTGGTAGAGCATCAGCCTTGAGCGAAAAAGCTAAGGGACAGTATCTAGGCCCTGAATTCAAGCCCCAATACCAGCATAAATAAATAAATAAATAATAAAAAGGCACTCCTTAAACACAAATGTACATCTATGATGATAAAATTTCAATGGTCTAGAAAAATCTGGACTAAATGCCCTCTCCCCAACCTTGATCTCTCTCCCCAAAAATGAGCTATGCTAAGTCTTTAGACATCCATTTTAGAAGAGTGCCTACCTTCCTACTTACTTGCTTACTCTTCTCCTTCCTTCCTTCCTTCCTTCCTTCCCCCTCTCTTTCTCTCCCTCCCTCCCTTTCATCGATACTGGGATTTGCATTCAGGAATCTCATATTCTGCTGATGCACTACTTCTTGAGCCATGCCTTCAGTGTGGCTTTGTGTTACTTTTGAGATAGGATCTTGAAGATCCTGCTGCTTTGCCCACATCCTGTCCGCTAAGCCTCCCTGAGGAGATTGGTGATTCTCGGGTGGTGTTCAACTGGGATGTATCTCTGCCCTTTGGACATTCACAGCACTCAGCACTGTGGCCTCTGGTGATTTCCCAGTCTTTCCCCTTTCCTGTTGGTTGCTACATACCAGTTGGTCGGGAGGCTCTGGAAGCCAGTGGTGAGGGGCAGTGCCATGTCCGGCAGAACTCATGGGCCTGGGCATTTGGGACCTGCCTTGCAAGCAAGGTCTGCAGGCATGAGCCACAGCACTCAGCTTGCCATTTGCTTCTGCAGCCTGGACGCTTGGCCAAGGGGCTCTCGGCTATAAAATTACCAATTTCTTGGCTTATTTTTTAATTTCTAATTTTTGATATGTCACAATAAATAAACATTTCTCATACCAGCTGCTTAGAAAAATTTAGGACTAGCTTCCCCTTGCCAAAAGATCACTCAAGACGCTCAGGAGTATATGCACATATGTTTTAAAAGAGAATAGAAATTTCCTATTTAAATGGCCTCTTAATTTGAGTACTAAAAGCAATTTCCTATTCCTAACCTCTCCCCAGCTCATTCTTGGGCACCTTGGGTTTCCAGCCTGCATGAAGGGTCAGGGTCATCTGGGTTTACAGAGGACCTCATCAGGGCTTTCCCAGGAAGATGGTGCTGGTGGGCAGGACGAGTCATGGGAGAATGTGGGACCCATCCCAGCAAAATGTGCTCACCTGGACCGAGTCTCTGCCAGCTGGGTTGGAGAGTGTTTGTCTGCACAGGTGGGATGATTCATCCCTTGCTGGTGGGCTGCTTGGATGGTTCCTGTTTAACCTCATGTTGGGTCAAAGTCTTGTTCCTGGCTTAAAGCAGAGCAGTGTTTTAGCTGCCCATGATGAGACCAGGACTGTGGAGACACATACAGAAGGGGCCTTTGGCTGGGCTGTGTGAATTCTCCTTTGCAGAAAGCAGACACAGACTGCTGGGAATCAAGATACAAGAGGAAGTCTCAGCTCTCCTGATAATTGTGAAGAAGGGCGTTTTTTTTTCCCTTTCCCTAGATGCTTTTCCCTCACATGTCCAGTGCACTGGTTTCTAAAACTGTAGCCCATTTTCACCAAATGGCCTGGCCATCAACAAATTTCCAGGAAGTCTGGGGAGAGACAGAATGCCCCCCAGTTCCTTAGGTTATGTTGAATAAAGGAATATGGTGCTGTTGGAATGGCTTTCATATTCAAATCCTAAGACTGCTCTGCTGGGGATTTTTGTTTTGCTTGTTTTTCTTACCAGTCCTGGGGCTTGAACTGAGGGCCTGACACTGTCCCTAAGCTTTTTGTTCTAAGGCTACCATTTGTACCATTGGAACCACAGCTTTTGGTGGCTAATTGGAGATGAAAGTCTCTAACTACAATCCTCAGATCTCAGTCTCCTGAGTAGCCAGGATTAAAGGCGTGAGCCACCAACACCTGGCTTGCTGAGGATATTTTGGCTTTGCATTTCCAGAGACAGAAGCAATGTAGAAATCTTTTTTTTTTTTTTGTCGGTCGTGGGGCTTGAACTCTGGGCCTGGGCGCTGTCCCTCAACTCTTCAGCTCAAGGCAAGCGCTCTACCGCTTGAGCTACAGCGCCAATTCCCAATGTAGAAATCTTACATGGGTTTATGGCATCTCTTGAGCCTCAGCATTAATCCAGGATTGGCATGGTGCTAGTCTAAAAGGAGCTTGGTTATCAGGGGCTCCAGAGTAGATACTGGTAGAAGGCCATACTGAAGCCATCAGGGTCTTTCCACACACCCTCAAGTGGCTGTCCTAAAGAATTAGCACAAAAAGAAGACATACTTGGTGCGACTTACATTAACATTTTTGCTTGACAACCTGATCTTCGGACCATATAATTTGGGTGAAATCGAGTGCTGTCTGGGTGGCCAGGGCAGAGGAATTGGAATCCAGTGGTTTTCATTTTGGTCCGTGACTTCATCTGCCCCCACTCCCCCCACTCCCTTCCTTTCCTAGAATCGATATTCTGGCTGGGCCCTGGCTGACTTCCAGACTTCTCAACTTGAGCCACAATTACATCTGTGTCTTTGCATTTTGTATCCAGGTTTCAGCCGAGTCTAGCTCCTCCATGAACTCCAACACCCCGCTAGTGAGGATAACAACACGCCTGTCATCCACGGCCGATACCCCAATGCTGGCAGGGGTGTCTGAGTACGAATTGCCAGAGGACCCGAAGTGGGAGTTCCCCCGAGATAAGTGAGTTCTTGTTCTTCTGCTCCACGTAGCCCTGAGCTGAGGTATAAATGGAAGTATTGGATTGGCATTTTCTTTTCGTGACCTTTCACTGCAAAGGTCTTGCTCTGGCATGTCTCAACAGGCATGAGATGGCATTTCTAAATAACCAACTACTCCTGGAAAAGAAAGAGATTTTTTTTTCCTTCTTTTCAAGCAGGGCCATAAAATTCTGGCTGGTGTCCAAACAAGATGGCATCTGGTTATCATTTGATTTATTAAATTTCTAGACAATTCAAACCTAGTCAGGTGGAATAAAAGTAGGGCTGTCCAGCCTTTAAAACAGAGTTGACACTCCAGCTTCTGTAGTTTTGTAGTTTATGCCTTTGGAGAAATCAGATATAAGAACGTAAATTGTCTGACGAATCTTTACCCAGTTCGGCTGTTTTTAATGGTTATGAATGCACTATCAGCTTGAATGTTCTTCAAATATGGTAGCTGACACTGTCCAAGCCTTGCTGGGAGCTGTATATCTCTTGGTCTGATTTGAATAAGTCCATGCATTTTGGGCTCTGTTGGACTGGATTTGAACACTGGGTAACCTTGAGTGACCTACTCAATTTTCTCTCTTTCTCTCTCTCTCTCTCTCTCTCTCTCTCTCTTTTTTTTTTGAGTTCCTGTCCTGGGGCTTGAACTCAGGGCCTAGATGCTGTCCCTGAGCTTTTTTACCACCTTTTCTACCATTTGATCCACAACTCTATTTTCAGAATTTTTTTTTGGTGGTTAATTGGAGCTAAGAGTCAAAAGAATTTCCTGCCCTGGCTGGCTTCAAACCTTGATCCTCAGATCTCAGCCTCCTGAGTAGCTAGGATTATAGATGGGAGCCACCGGTACATGGCTTTTGTTTCTATGGATTTTATTGCTGTGACATGAAGACCATTGTACCACCTCTCAAGGCTGAGCACAGTTCTTGGCTGTGAGAGTCTCTTTCATTTCTGTTCATGACTTGGTAACCTGGAGCCTCTGAACTGTGAATCTCAGAAAGATGGTGGTGCATGGCTGAGAGCCATAGCGCTACTGGCTCCCATCCCCTAGGCAGATACTAACCAACTCACCCCACCCACATACAGAAGTAATCTTCATGGAGTGCTGGCAGCTCGCTCAGGGTCCTTTTTAGTGTGACTGGAGTAATGGAAAGTGGAAACACTGACACTTTCTGCATCATATAAGCTGCAATAAACATAATAGTCTTGACATTTGCAGTGTCTCCCTGAGATTATGCTGGAGACATGTGTGACATATGCATCTTGTACATGCATACTTACATACATACATACATACATACATACATACATACATACATACGTACTTATATACACACACACAGATTTGGAAACACAAAAATAAGCTTTCCCAGACACTGGCTCTGACAAACTCTGGTTGGAAGGGAATGTAGCTGATTTTGGTTTATGCAGCTTCATGTGAGAAGTTTATTCTGCTACACAAGTCAATTTAGAGACACTAATGTGTATCATAAACCAGAACCAAGTAATTGTTAGCATTCAATTAGAGTATGAATGAAGTCATTTCATGTGTATTCGTGTACTCTAGTGAAAGGACCATTCATTCATTCATTCACTCATTCACATGCACATCCTTTAGTCCTTCCCTCATTCATCCAAGGCCTACTGGAGAGGCACTGGAGGGCACTGCTCAGAGGGAGAGAGGAAGGGATGCTTCTCATGAACCCCTCCAATCCCCTAACTGTGTATGGTTATGTAAATAGCTGGTTCAAGTACACGTTCCTCCGTGTTTAACACTGAACTGCTGGTGGGGCTGTGATTGTATGTTTAGAACTCACAGCCTTCAGGTCAGGCTTGCTTTTTGCCACCTGTGGCTTCACAGTCAACAGTGGGAGCCTGTACGTGGCTGCTCAGCCAGCTCCCACCCAGGGAACCCCGAGTATGGAAAATCTGAGTGCTGTGCGTTTCCAAACAGCGTTTAGCACAAATGGAGGTGGAGCAGATTTCCAATGAATGAAGGCTATTTAGCTGCAGTTTATTAGATCGGCGGCAGGAGTTATACAAAGAAAGGATTGTTATGCTTGGTGCTAGCAGGGGCATTAGGACATAAATTAGCCATTTTTCCAATGCAAATGTTTATTTTTCTGCCAACATGTTAAATTTAATTTTAGTTCTGGATAGAAAGAGAGGTCAATGACCTCAACATAGCATACACTGCCCTCTGGGGTTTTTGTTGTTGTTATTGTTTGTTTTGGGTTTTTTTCCCCCCTAAGCCATTGTGTACTTACTGTAAGTACTGTTTGCTGATAGGACCTCAGGACTTTGTTGTGTTATACTTAATAAACCACACTCATAACTATTCCAAAGACTTAATTCTTTTGGCTCTTGGCATGCCCAAGGATAATTCCTAAGCTTGAAGAAAAAAGTAATTTGTGATGTGTACTTTGGGTTATCTTCATTGTTAATTTTAAGTAGCCACAAGAATTTCTCAACTTAAGGCCAAAAGGAAAAAAAAAAACTTGCCCATTTTCCAGAATTTTCTTTCTTTCCCCTTTAGTGAAAAATTAGAGATTCCTTAAAATGCAGTTAAGATTCATATCCTGTAACTTGGCAAGGAAGGTAACCATAAAATCCACTGGTATTTGAATAATAGGGGTCTTAAAGCTGCCATTTTTACAGGGACACATGCACACACACACACACACACACACACACACACACACAAAAAATAAGAACAGCCTTTTCCATTTTTTCCTTGAGACGTTCTAAATTACAAATATTTAACTGGCTCAAGATCAAAAGTTCCTTGTCGTGGGCACTCAGGGAGGCTGACCACCTCGCTCACAGGGATAGCTTCCATAAAGAAAATAAATTGAGACTACAAATGTGAGGTTTAATAGGTGTTCCACCAGTCACTGACATTCTTTTAAAAGACGTCACTAAGAAAACACTCCTGTGCGAGAGTGCCCCAAGTCTCATTAGCTCCATATGATAAACACGGCAGGCTTTCGCAAGCCACTGGAAAGGTTTTTGTATTTCATTCTGGAATTTCCCGCGCTCTGCCTGTCCACCAGATGCTACCTGCTAATCCTCTGTGTATGTATTCAGGCTGACGCTGGGCAAGCCCCTCGGGGAGGGTTGCTTTGGGCAAGTGGTCATGGCTGAAGCGGTGGGAATCGACAAAGAGAAGCCCAAGGAGGCCGTCACTGTGGCCGTGAAGATGTTGAAAGGTGAGTGTGGGCAGGGATGGGGGGGGGCATCTTATCAAGAATATCCCTTCTGTGCCATGTGAACCCAGCACTGGTGGGGTCAGAGAGCACATAGCTGACCTAGAGGTTGAGACGTTTTCAGGATAAATCAGCATCTTAAACAGACTATTTATCTTGAGCTTGTGGCATTCACTTTGTACTTTGAAAAAGAAAGACCAGTTTTATTAACAAGCGATAGCTCCTCAGAATGGCTTAGTCTTTGATTTCTTAGAGTGACTCCCCTCCCCCTTTATATTTTTATGGGCTTAGAGAGTATCCAATCACTTGAAATTGAGGATTTTTTTTCTTTTAAGTTGGGGGTTGGTAGGTTAGATTTTGAATCCAAACTTTAACATGCAAATAAAGAGAAATGAGCATTTAGAGAGGGAGCTAAATGCTGCTTTAAAAAAATTATTATTACTATTAGTTTTCTTTGATCCTTCCTTCCTTCCATCCTTCCTTCCTTCCTTCTATCCTTCCTTCCTTTTCCTTCCTTTTCCTTCCTTCCTTCCTTCCTTCCTTCGTTCGTTCGTTCGTTCCTTCCTTCCTTCCTTCCTTCCTTCCTTCCTTCCTTCCTTCCTTCCTTCCTTCCCTCCCTCCCTTTCCTTCTCTCTCTCTCTCTCCTTTCTTTATTTCTTTCCTTATTCTGCCAGTTTCAGGGACTCATCTCAGGGCCTCTCACTTCTCCTTAGCTTTCTTGCTCATGGCTAGTACTCTACTGCTTGAGCCATGCCTTCGGTCCATCATTTTGCTTGTTAAGTGGAGATAAAGTCTTGAGGCATCTTCTGCCCCAGGTAGCTTTTTACCTCCTATTTTCTAGGTCAGTCCCCGGCGTAGCGAGGCTTACAGATGTGAGCTACTGGACCACAAATGCCATTGGCTGGAGGGAGTCACATAGAGTCAAAAATGAGCTAGCAATATTGAGACTGACACAGAGCCAGGGGGACATTTGACAATGGTCCTGGGATGCAAATGTCCCGTTGTGTTTGTGGGAATCTGGACATTTCTGTGTGATCCATCCATCCTGCATCATGCCTGTGTCCCAGTACTGAAAGAACTCTTCACCATTTGCTTACTGTCTGCATTACCCTAAAAGCTGAGTTAGAGGAAGTGTCACCTTGCAAGGCCTGTCGTAGGGTATTTCAAACCCAGGGTTTCCTAGGCTTCCAGGGAAAGATGTTCTGTCTTTGGGGGTGTATAAGGCCACATGCACATGTGCACGAGGGAGTAAGGCCCTTTCTTTCTGTGTGGGTTTCCTGGGACACACACCACATCTCTCCCTGATTAGGAAAGAGTCTAAAAGCTGTCTTCTAGCTGTCTCCCTGAGACTCCCAAGGGAATCTGGGTGGTCCGAGTGCTCCCTGCTTTGGGGTTTGATGCCAGGGAGGAGACAGCCGGTGGCTGTGCACCAGGACCTCCTCTGGCACCTGAGTGGGTGTGGGGAGGACCAGGCTCTGCATCTTGAAGGTATTCTGACTCGGCTAACGAAACCCAGAGTCCATGGTGAAGTTGCAGGCAAGGAAGTCTCATTCTTGCTTCCTTCCTTGCTTGCTTCTTTTTTTGTGTGTGCTAGTCCTGGAGCTTGAAGTCGGGGCCTGGACACTGTCTGTTTGCTTACTGCTCTACCACCTGAGCCACAGGCTCAAGTGGGAGGCATAGGTTTATTTTTTTTGGCAGTTAATTGGAGATAAAGAGTCTCACAGACTTTCTGCCTAGGCTGGCTTTGAACCATAATCCTCAGATCTCAGACTTGGGAATAGCTAACATTACAGATGTGAGCCACCAGCCCCTGGCTAATTATATCTCTTTTTAAGCTACAGCTGGCGATCATCCCCTCCAAGATGTCCAAGCTGGTTAGCCCTGTAGATGGCTAAGAGCCTGGAGGGCTCTGTCCTGAGCCCTGTGTGCATAGACCTCCTTCCTCCTTCCCTCATTTTCTTCTGTGAAGCTAAAGAGCTTCTGCAACATCGTTTCCATCCATGCCCTATTTCTTTTTTTTTAAGTCAGCTCAGATTTTTCCATATTGATAAAAGAGTATAGCTCATCTGGCACCCATAAGGCTTTGGGTTTGACTCTTAGCATTGCAGTAATGTAAAACAACAAAAATAAAAACAAAATTAGCTTGAAGGGAGGTACCCTGGAACAGCCTTGCCACTTGCCTGAAGCTCACTGCTGCACAGGGGCTGGAGCACTCTTTGAGAACGGTGGAGCACTCTGAAAAGTCAGTACACACAGTCCTCTCCCCACTCATCTGAACACACACGCTTACTTATGCAGTCCTGGGGGGCCTACTAAGCCTATCTTTGAATGAGCTAAAAGTTTCCTTAGAGATTCTTACTCAGGAGCTAGTCTATAGTTAACTGAAAGATTCCTACAGTGTTTCCTTGGAGTTGTTTTCAAGCACCACGATGAGTTTTCCAAGGTCCCTTACATAATGGTAGAGGGCAGGATTGCTGAGTAGAAGACCTTAACCATCAGAGCACTGTGCCCATTGCTGACTTTTGACCCCATGACCCTCAGTGAGCACTTTGACACCAAGCAGGACACTCCCCTGTCCTAGCCCTTTGCTCCCTCAGTGATAAAATGAGGGTCATGGTTGGGAAGGCTTTCTTGGCCCCAAAACTTAATTTCACAGTTTGAACTAAGAGTTTGGCAACAGACAGTGACAGCCAGATTCACGACTCGCCTAATTCACATTCATAGACGATGCCACAGAAAAAGATCTTTCTGACCTGGTGTCGGAGATGGAGATGATGAAGATGATTGGAAAACACAAGAATATCATCAATCTTCTGGGAGCCTGCACTCAGGATGGTGAGTAAGGGAAGTGCTTCCATCCATGCCCCTTTTTAAGTTCTCAAAATGAGAACTAATGATTTGGTTAGAAATTCTTCTCTTAAAGCTGGGGATGGAGACAGGGGAATCCTTGTGTTGCTATGGGTAGAAAATGGCTGTTGGTCTGCTAAGAATAACTTCAGGCTGGGGAGGCTGAGATTTGAGGATTGTGGTTTGAAGCCAACCTAGGAAGACAAATCCATGAAACTCTATATCTCCAGTTAACCAGTAAAAAGGCAGAACTGGAGGCATAGCTCAAGTGCTGGAGGACTAAGAGCGTAAGGCTCTGAGTTTAGACCCCAGTGTGGTCACTCTTCAAAGAGAGAAAGTGTGAGGAAGCTAAGGCTGTCTCCCCTGGGGGGGGGGGAGAGCAGGACTCTCCTGCTTTCACTGACACACTGGGAATCAACTTGACAATAGGTAGTAAAATTCATTTTGCCTAAGTTTGAGCCATTTCTCCTATAGGTCTATTCAGGAATCAGCAGCTTTTTTCTATATATAAAGGGTGACTGTAGACATGTTTAGACTTTGAATGGTTGGTGTAAGTACTCATTGCCTTTCACAATAAAGGGATGAGTACACCTGGCTAGGGGTGAGCCAGTAGAAAAGTGGACAGCGCCAGTGGCTCACATCTGTAGTCCTAGCTACTCAGGACTGAGGCTGAGATCTGAGGATCACAAGTGGTAGAGCATTAGCCTTGAGCATAAAGAGGCTTAGGGGACAGTGCCAAGGCCCTAAGTCTAAGCCCAGTACCAGCAAAAAAGTTCTTGGTGCCTCTGTGTAGGTAGAGTGGGAAAATGAACCAGAAGAAAACACTAAAGGGAGAAGACGCATTAGCCATTACTTTGTAAGAGAGGAGTGTGATGGGGAAAGGGCAACGAAAGGCAACCGTGTCTTTGTTTTATGTCCTAAAGCTTTTTGACATTATTAGGACCAAATGTGGATGGTCATTTTGGAGCTAAACACATGGGTGTTTGTATCTGAGAGGGAGTGCTTTGCTGCAGCTTTATTTTGTGTGTGTGTGTGTGTGTCACCACTGGGGTTTGAACTCAGGGCCTCACATTCTTGCTTGGCTCTTTTTGGTCAATCAAGGCTGGCACTCTACCACTTGAACCATACCTCCACTTCTGGCTTTTTGCTGGTGAATTGCTTTTCATGGACTTTCCTGGCCAAGCTGACTTTGAACCAGGATCCTCAGATCTCAGCCTGAGTGGCTAGGATTACAGGTGTGAGCCATTAGCACCTAGCTGCATTTGGCCCAGCACCAAAACAATGACTAAATCCACACTAGGTTGCAGTAAGTAAAAGCTTCTTGACTTGTGGGCAGATCCTGGCTTCACTGTCACAGCAAGCATCTTTCTCCCTCACAGGGCCCCTCTATGTTATAGTTGAGTATGCTTCCAAAGGCAACCTCCGGGAATACCTCCGGGCCCGGAGGCCACCCGGCATGGAGTACTCCTACGACATTAACCGTGTTCCTGAGGAGCAGATGACTTTTAAAGACTTGGTATCCTGCACCTACCAGCTGGCCAGAGGCATGGAGTACTTGGCTTCCCAAAAAGTGAGTCCTTTACCTTCTACTTGGTTGGGTGGAGGCCAATGAAAAGTGTCTTTGAAGATGCCAGGCAATGTGGGCATGCTCGTTTGGCAGATCAAGCCCTTACATGTCTTGTACAACTTGGAAAATATTTAGGGCATTCTTCACCTTCATGTTCAATGAACTCTTTTTAAAAGGCTGAAGCGGCCTCATAAATTCCTAACAGCATTGCAGGGATGAGCAGGAAGACATCTCTGCTCAGAGGCCCGGCTGGGTTTTATTGTTGTTGTTGTTGGTGGTGGTCATGGGGGCTGAACTCTGGGCCTGGGCACTGTCCCTCAGCTCCTCAGCTCAAAGCTAGGGCTCTACCACTTGAGCCACAGCACTACTTCCAGCTTTTTTCTGCTTATGTGGTGCTGAGGAGTGGAACCCAGGGCCTCATGCATGCAAGGCAAGCGCTCTACCACTGAGCCACCTTCCCAGCATGCCTTCCCTCCCCACCCCCCAAAAAGATGGGTTTTATGCCCCTGTACATCCAGCTGTCCAGCTAGACTCTGCATTCTAGTGCGTTTGGGTTTATTTGTTTTGTGGCTATTGAGTTTGGAGATAGAGAGCTAGGATTTTGAGTTGGATAGGTCTTTAAGAATAAGAATGAAGTGAAGGGAGGTTTGAGCTCCGTAGAGTCCCTGATGGCAGAGTGTTTTGGGTCTCTTTCGGTGACTGGCTGTGGGCAGAAGTTGTCCAGGCTCTCCTCCCCACCCCTATCCCCCCCCCCCACACACACAGGTAAGTTGCCTACATTCCAAGCATGCCACTTGCAACCCAAAACATTCCAGTTAGGCAAGTGCCCAGACTTCTTGGGGCATTTGGGACCCTAGCCACCTTCCTCACTTCACCCTCAGGTAGTGGGGTACACAGCCGGCTCCTTGGGCCCTGCCCCTACTTGGGGTGGATATGCCTGCAGCATCAGCTTTCCTTGGCTCCCCAAAGAGGAGGTGGGTGAGATCTGCTGAGGGCATGGCCCCTCGTCAGCTGCAAGGCGGGGAGGGTCACAAACTGGATCCCTCAGGGACTTTTCTAATCTCAGCAGGGAAGTGGGCTCTGTCTGCCAGAGTATGAAAAGATGGAGGGACTCGGGGAGCAACCACACCTTGCCCCATCCCTGTCTCCGCCCTCTTCCCTGTCTCATGGGAACATGGCCTAGGGTTGTTACTTTACTTTTTTCTACTTTTCCAGATTGTCTAGATCTTAGGATTTTTCCATGGATTTTTTTCCCCCCTGTAAAATCTCCCAACATACAAGTTTTAAGAAACTCATGAACAGGCTGGGCACCGGTGGCTCACACCTATCATCCTAGCTACTCAGGAGGCTGAGATCTGAGGATCACTGTTCAAAGCCAGCCTAGGCAGGAAAGTGTGTAAGACTCTTATCTCCAATTAACCACGAGAAAACTGGAAGTGGCGCTGTGGCTCAAAGTGGTAGAGTGCTAGCACCCAGGTCCAGAGTTCAAGCCCCACAACAGACCAAAAAAAGCAAAAGAAACTCATGAACAGTTTTAGTCCTGTGATTCTGTGCATGTGCACTTACTCGGCAGAGGCTGCCAATCTGAACATCACTGGTGCCAGAAGACAGCCAGATAGATCCAGACTGTGGCACACATGACAAGACATTAATTATATGAGAGTGTCACTGTCACAAAAGGGAAAAAATTGCTGCGAGACCATCCCAGATTCAAGGAGGCTAAAGAGACAACAACCAAATGTGAGGGTGTGATCCTGGGGTGGCCCTCTTTGGGGTAGAAGTTGGAGGTTTTTACAAAAGCTCTTGTGAAAATTTTAGAACTTGCATATGGCCTGTATTTTAGTGACATTGCTGGTGACATTTGGTGACATGTGGCAAAGTTGAATTTGGAGCCAGGCGAAGGCAGCATTGTGTTCGCTCAGGAGATACAGGTTACAGATCCCTTCCAAAATATTTGAAGCGCTAAGTGTTTTAGAACTCACTTTTTCCAGAGTTTGGAGTATTTGCATACATTCGCATATAATGAGACATTGTAAGGAGGAGACTCAAGTCTAAACACAAGCTTCACCTGTGTTTATAACACCCAAATAAACACATAGCCTGAGGGACATGTTTATTGATGTTGGTGTCTGGGAAAACAAGTTTTATGGCATGGAATTTTCCATTTGTGGCATCACGTCACTTTTAGATGTTTTAGAGTTTGGCTTTACAGGTAGGGATGCTCAACCTGTAAATGCTGAAGAATGTAGATGTGTTAAGTATGCTGATGTTTGCAATTCATTTTGAAGGAGTTTAGCTATAAAAGTGTGCATAACGTGTGTGCGTGCGTGTGTGCATGTGTGTATATGTGTGTGTGTATGTGTTTATGTGTGTGTGAAGCTGAGCGTGGAGAGAAAGTAAGAAAATCTGGCTAACATGCATGGGCATCCACTATGCCACCTTGTTGGAAGTATCTTGAACTATCTGAACTGCATTGGTGGCTCTGTGGGGGAGACAGTCGCCTGGTGTGGGCCACTTGTTGGGCTTGGTCACTCTGAGCCCAGGGTAGGAGATGGGAAGGCCAAGCTGTTAATACAAAAATGGCAGCAGGGCTGGCGTCATCATTCATCGTCATCATTCACCCACTGATACTCCATAGGCCTCCCCAAAGTCCCGTGCCCTCAGTCAGCTCTACAGTGAAATGGATGTGGTTCTTGTCCTCATGGAGCAGGAACTGTGAGTGACTATAAAAGAGATTGCCAATCAATATGGACTAAAAATAAATTGATTCAAAACTTGGACATAAGCCAGGGGCTGGTGGCTCACACCAGTTATTCAGGAGCCTGAGATCCCGTTTAAAGTCAAACCAGGCAGAAAAGTCCCTGAGACTCCAGCTCTAAAATAACCAGCAAAAAGCTAGGCTAGAAGCATGGCCCAAGTAGTAGAGCGCCAGTCCAGGAAACAAGCTGAACAAGTACAGGGCCATGAGTTCAGGGCCTGGAAGCCCCATGTGGGTACTCTGGGCCTTGCTCCTGGTGCCATTGTAGCCATGGAGGTGTGATAGGACTGGGTTTGCTGATGCTGGCATGGGAGATTAGAAGCCCCTAGTCTTATGAAAGGTGACTTTGCTTTGGGCCAGGGATTATTGCATCTCAAGACAATCAGAGAGAAATTGGGGGTTTGATTTGGGACACATTTTGCTATCATGATTGAGAATTTTGAAAAGGGGAAAGATAGAAGTTGTATACAATTCCTGATGTTCCCACTTGAGAAACTGGACAGTGGTTAGACCGCAAGACACGGTAGGCTTGGGGATTGGGAGGTGAAGTGGGGGCGGATTTCAGTGGAAAATCTAGAGCTTGTGTTGAGCAGCTGAGAGCCATCGGAGGGCAGAGATTAGCCAACAAGCCACAGGTGAAGAAGCGCAGCTCCAGGCCGGAAGCCCACAGGGGAGCTGTGACTTCAAGCCACAGCGAGGCGCAAAGTCACCTAGGGGAGAAGCTTGAGAAGAGGAAGGCTGGAGGGCAGGCCTGGGAAAAGTCCTGAGACTGATGGAAACCACTGGAGATAGCATGGAGGCCAAGAAAAGGAGGGAGGGGCCTCAGAAGGGGCTCTGGAAGGGGGAGAGGTCAACAGAATGTCCCAGCTCCCGATGAGCAGAGAAGCAGATTGGATTCCCCCCCCTCCCTACTTAGACCCTTTGTGGTTTAAAGATGCTCAGTACGGTAGAAAGAGAACTTGGAGCTGGGTCTCTGGGACTTTTGCAAAACGGAGAAGTGACTATGTCTCGGAATGAGAGGATGGGAAGAGGTAAGCGCCCCTTTAGGAGTGGTGATGGTAGAAATCAGGGATGTTACAGTCACCACCGTTCTTGGAGAGCTGGGGCTAGCCAGGGGCAGTGAGAAGCACCTGACAGAGTCTTACATAACTCTCCAAGCCACTCTGCCATCGGTGTGATCAGGAGCCCCATCTCAGGCTGAGGAATGCCAGGGAAACCTGGAACCTAGAACTGACTGTGAATGACTGGTCCCAGACTTAGGTTCATGGCCCTTAGCTCTGCCGTGCCCTGCTCTCATGGGGTCTCTGCCTCTCTCTGGACTCAGGCAGGACCCTTGTCCCTGTTCCAGGCCTAGTATGGCTCACTCCTCGGCCCTAGGGAAGAGGCTGAGGTTAACGGGACAATAATGTGTCCCAGGGGATTGTGTGGTTCTTGCATAAAGCTGTCTGCACTTGAGGACCTAAAGAGTAGGTTTGATTATTGAAGATCTTAAGACTGTCCCCCTTACAGCCCCAAGAGGGGGAAGGGAGGGCTTAATCAGATGTATTATACTCATAACTGACATGCTGAATGGAAACTCCTTTGTACAATGGCTGAAAGCTAATTTAAAAAAATTATTATTAAGAAAAGCAATCCATTTGTGATCTCATGTGAATTCACCGATGGCTCATGCCTGTAATCTTCGTTACTCAGGAGGAGTTCTGAGGATCCAGGGTTAATACCAGCTCAGAAAGACAAATTCATGAGACAATTTCTCTATCCAGCAAAATGCTAGAAGTGGAAGTATAGTTCAAGCAGCTGAGCACCAGCCTGGAGTGGAAAAAGCCAAACAAGAGTGTGAGGCCCTGAGTTCAAGCCCAAGTACCAACATTTAAGATAAAATCAAATGCAACTTTACTGAAGGGGGGGACAATGTTCCCCTCACAGAGTCTACTTCCACTAACTAAGGCATCTTCTAGAACATAAATCTGAGCAACAGGGCAAGCATCATGCCCCTTCTACCTCCAGCCATCCCCTTCCTGTGGGGCTGATGGCCTGTTGGGAGATGCACTTCCTCCTGCAAGGAGGGAGCAGAGGAAAAGTGCCAGGCTCCTATCTTCGAAAGCAGCCCATTAGACAGCTCCCTGGGCTGGACGTGAGCCTGGAACTGCAAATATTGGGGTGACATTCTGTCCCTGACCTTAAGCAGCTACCATTGTGCTTATTGGGTGTGTATTAGGGGTAGAATCACACCACTAAAGCAACACCCACGCTGTTTGTAGTGACATGGCTAGTAATGGGATATTTGAGCCTTACATGATTAATAGTTATCTTTTTGGGGGGTTGGTTGGTTGGTTTTTAGTTCAAAGCAACTAATGTTTCTTAAGGAAATTCCAGAGCCAGTTTAACATTCAAACTTCTAAACATGAGGAGGCCTTGACATCCCCATCTATGAAATGGATGTAATCACACCCATCTGCCAGAGGTTGCCATGGGAACTATATATATATATATATATATATATATATATATATATATATATAGGGTCAGCGATGGCCCACTGTCAGCAGCACAGAGTTGTTAGCCTTCCTTCCCTTAGCAACCCTAAACCTAATCGAGTAGGGGTACCCACACTGCCCCGGGGCCCCAGTTACATGAATAGTCAGGGCTTTGAACTGGAAAACAACTCCAGTTTCTGTGAATTGATGGGGTTTGGCTTGGCTTTCATTGTTTTTTCTTCTTCTTGGGCACTGGTTCCAACTCTTTGGCTAGCCCAGAAGGGAGCCTTTGGGGTTTCCTGGCATGCAGGGGTGCGGGGTGACTGTGCTGGACAAGATGGTGGTGGTAGCTGGGTAGCGTCTCTGTCACAGTTGAGTTATGATGTGTGGTCTGAGCCCAGGACAGGGAAGCCAGATTCTTTTGACCACTTGCCTGCCAAGCACACGGAGCACATGTCGGGAGAGCACACCACCGGGAGAGCTTGGCCCGGGGCTTAGAAGTTCAACTGGAAGAGGCCTCCAACCCAGGAACACAGCCCAAGTCCAAAGCGGATCTGCACGCAGCTCTGGGAGCGCTCACATTTCCTGCTCCCAGTCTGGCCCAGGCCACACAGGCTTGATGGCCTTCCGGCCTCCCTATTTCTCATCACCCTGCCACAGAAGCAAGTGGACACAGGGACCACAGGGCTGGCGCAGGAAGACTCATTTGTGTTTTAGAGAGGTGTAGCCAGTAGTTGGTCCTTTCATGAAATACCCAAAGATTAGCCTTGTTTCAATTTGTCCAATGGATGGAGCAAGCTCTGCTTCCTGAGCGTTAGCCATGGCCAGTACCCTGTGCAGGAAAGAAGTAGTTTATGGTGGAATTTGGCTTTTTGTCTTTATACCACCCTTCTTCCGAAAATAGAGGGGAAATGATTTGGCATAATAAAGTACAGCTAAAAACACGAGAGGTACAAAAGCTTATTGTGTGTAGACAGAAAATGTAGAAGCTATAAGATTAGCTGTGTTCCAGTGACTCATCCCTGTAATCCTAGCTACTCAGGAGCTTGAGATCTCAGGATCATGGTTCAAAGCCAGTCTGGAAAAGAAATCCAGGAGACAGCTATCTCCAGTTAACCACTAAGAAGCCAGAAGTGGCGCTGTGACTCAAAGTGGTAGAGCACCGGCCTTGAGTGAAAAAGCTAAGGGGCAACACACAGGGCACAGGCCTTGAGTTCAAGTCCCAGTATCAGCACCAAAGAATAAAAATTTTATTTGTTTTTTTGTTTTGTTTTGGGTCCGGTCGTGGGGCCTGAACTCTGGGCCTGGGCGCTGTCCCTCAGCTCTTCAGCTCAAGGCTAGCGCTCTACCACTTGAGACACAGTGCCACTTCCGGCTTTTTTTCCCCTGCTTATGTGGTGCTGAGGAATCGAACCCAGGGCCTCAGGCATGCAAGGCAAGCGCTCTACCACTGAGCCACCTTCCCAGCCCAGAATAAAAATTTTAAAAGACTAGATATTTCTGTGATCAGAGTTGCCATCAGGACTGTGTCTCATCCCAGACATCAGTTGCATTCAGCCTGGTGTGGGCCAAAGATGGTGAGCAGTTGGACTGAGAATGCGGATACATGTGCACTAGACACGAGACAAGCCAGCGGAGGTAGAAGGCGCCATCAACCTGTGTTGCAAACACAAATCATAGGGAGGTAGAGGGGGACTCGGGCTGAGTTTGGAAGGGGCAGCCTGCAGGGATGTCAGGTACAAGCAGGGGCCTCAGCCTGGACTGAGGCTGAGGTAACAGAATGGGGAGACACTTGGGAGATGGAATCGGCAGGACTTGAATGTGAAGCATGCCAGTGCATGGAGGATGGAAGAGGTCAAAAGGACCTCGGTGTGGAAGTGTCTCAGCACAAGTTGAAGATAAGCATGTGGGTTTCAGGATGGGTTGAGGTAGAGCTGGGAATGCACAGCTTTTGTGTCTGCGTGGGGGCCGACGCCATGAGGACAGGCGGAGACACGTGTGCCACACAGTTCTCCACTTTGGAGAGTGAACTGCCAGCCCAAGAGTTCAAGAGGATGATGGGAAGCAAAAGAATAAGCCAAGAGAAAGAGAGTCAGGGAGGACTCCAAAGGGACCAAGAAGTCAGTAGTATGTGAAACTCTCCAGGAAGGGAAAATTGGAACTGGAGGCATGTCTCAAATGGTAGAGTGCCATGCTTGCACCAAAAAAAGACAAGTGAGAGTCTAAAGCCCCAAGTTCAAGCCTCCATACTGGTACAGCAACAAAATCAGAGAGAGAAAATGGAAGTCATATGAATCTGCCCATGAGGCGGGTCCTCCTCCGCTGTAGGAGGGGTACATGTCACTCAGAGAGAGAGAGGAAATGTGACCACTAAACCATTTTGAGATCAAAGAGTTGTAAAGAATATATCAAGTCACACTGTTAGAGAAGTGATCAAGGGGTGACGAATATATGGTATTGGATTTAACCCCAGGGTCTGAAAATTTGTTGGGGAAGAACAAATGTTGAGCTAAGAGATTTTTAGGGTGACGTCATCCTAACCTTGTGTCCAGCAGAAAGACAGACCCTGGTGCCCTGAGACAATTGCAGATAAAAGGTGTTTTCTGGATTAATTTTGCTCTTCTGAGATGCCTGGGGGCTTGGGTAACTTGTTTATTTTTAGTTAGAAAGTAAATACCAGTACCCTGTTTGGGACTATCAAGGATCCTATGGACAAGCTTAATTTTACAGCCTAGTTTTGACTTGTGTGTTTTCTGTCTTGAGTTTTAAGCAGTGAGAATGTTTCCTTCTGGTGCTGGAAGTATTTTGAAATTCGATGTTTCTCTTGGTTTCAGTGTATCCATCGAGATCTAGCAGCCAGAAATGTGCTGGTAACAGAGAACAATGTGATGAAAATAGCAGACTTTGGACTGGCCAGAGATATCAACAACATAGACTATTACAAAAAGACCACAAATGTAAGTCTACACCTAACTTTGTGGGAACAGGGGTGAAGTGGGGTGCAGAATGTTCTAAGGTGCAAGTTCATAAACATCCAGGCTGGAGGGAGCTGTGGGCTCATCCTTTTCCCTCCATTATTATTATTATTGTTATTGTTATTAATAATAATTTACTCTTCATAAACTCCATTGAGTATACATTTGTAATCCTAGCTACTCAGGAGGTGGAGATAGGAGGATTACAGTCCAAGGACAGCAGGGCAAATGGACAAGACCCTACCAGAAATTAAAGCAAAAAGAGCCAAAGTGTGACTCAAGTGATAGAGCACTTGCCCAGCAAGGCCATGAGTTCAATACTGTAAAAGCAAACTCCAAAAGCCTTTCAATAGAAGCAAATTTAAAATATATCCGAGGTTGATTTAGTTTATGTGAACACCCCTATTCGCATAATAATCACTTGTCTCTAGGTTTTTGTCAAGAACTTTCCTATTTGAAAAAGAGCCTGGAAGTTACTGGGTTAATTTTTGCTTAGAGGTGGGTCAGGGTGTGTCTGTGTGCTGGGGCGATGGAGAATAATGAGACACTCAGGAGGTGGTGTCTTATGCCGGAGTCCAGATTACCGATAGCTAGAATTGGAGCTTATTTCTCCCTTAATGACTGACAGATGAAAACCATTAGAGTATCAGCTCTTGAACCAGCTCATTCATTGGCCTGCTGCAGTAAACTTGCTTTAATCTGTGTGCTTCTGTCCACATTTGCAGGGACGACTTCCGGTTAAGTGGATGGCTCCGGAAGCCCTTTTTGACAGAGTGTACACGCATCAGAGTGACGTGTAAGTGTCCCCTTCCCTCTGGTTTCTTTGTGGAGTTGGACTGCAGAACTGTTGCATTGTCTTTGCCTTTCTTCATGCTTTGATGGCTGTTGTGTTGTACATATTTACAAAAGACACAAGAGCCAGCTTAGAGTGGCCTAGTACCCAGGGCTTGATCACTAATAAACCTGCCTTCATAGAACAGCAGCTGCCCGAGGAGCAGTGCCCTCCGCCAATAACGGGTGTGCTACCAAGTGTTGGCAAGCTGTTGGCATGCTCTCCACTCCTCAGAAGAAGCACTTCTATCAGACTTGGTGGTGCATGCTTGTAATCCCAGTTCTCAGGAGGCAGAGACAGGAGGATTGTGAGTTCAATACCAGCCTAAGCTCCATCGTGAGATCCTCTCAAAAAACAAAAAGGCTGAGGATATAGCTCAATGGTAGAGAGCTCACCTAACATACATAGGGTTCAATCCCTAGCTCAAGAATAACTTTTTAAAGAAGTGCTAAGGACAACTGCTCACACCTGTAATCCTAGCTACTCAGGAGACTGACACCTGAATATCATGGTTCAAAACCAGCAGATAAGTTTTTGAGACTATTATCAAGTAACTTGCAAAAAGCTGGTACTGAAGGTGTGTCTTGGGTGGTCAAATGTCAGCCATAAGTGTCAGCCCTGAGTTTGAGCCCAAATATCAGCAAAGAAAATTAACTTCAAAAACAAACAAATGTTGGGGGTTGTCATAATCTCCTTGATAACATTCTAGATATAAAGTCAAGTTTACATATTATTTCTACTATGACACACTTAGGAACACTGTTAAGGTCAGCTTCTAACTGATATTGTAGATACGGAAATTCAGTTGAAAAGATATCATCATTGGGAACAACTGGGTAACAGGTACTATTTTTGGCAAGTGGCTGAGAGTGTGTAATTACTCCAAAGAGAGAAAGAGTTTCAGAAACCAGATGAGCTTTTATAAAAAATTGGTATGAGCCAGAAAATTGAAGGTGGAGGGTGGGAGCAATTCAGCGCTCAGCTGGTTGGGCCTGGCGACAATCCTGGAAGGAGGGTGTCTTAATTCCAGTTTATACAGTGAGCCAACTTAGGCCTAGAGCTGTTTCTGCCCATATTGTGCACTTGTGCATTGCTGGAGCTCAGTAGAAAAACAAGGGTGGGTTAATTCCTGCAACTGAGCAGCATAGAGCTAGGACGTTTTGAGAGCTGTGGTGACAGCAGTGAGCGGGGGATTCTCTGCTTGACTTGAGTTCCATGAACCAGGCTTAGAAAATCTTGGGTCTTGGAAAAGCCAAATATTAGTGGTACCCTGTGAAGTATGTTCCATTTCTGTGGTATGATTCTCATTCAGGACACAGAGTTCTTACGTCCTCAGCCCAGGCAGGGCTTCATCTATCCTGTATCAGCAAGTCACAGAGCCCTGTGCCAGGGGTAATCTACTAGCTACCTAGGACAGGGGTCCTGTCACAGAATTGGCTTGCTGCTCAGACTGGGGCTTACGGTCCTCATGTGAGCCTTACAGGAAGATGGAAGGCGAGGCAGCAACACATCCATCATCAACATCCATCACCACGTTTGTGATGGGTGCCCCAAAGAGCAGTCATGGGGTGTACCTGTCTATGGCTGGAGAATTCCAGCCACACATCCACGTGACGTCATCATTTAGAGACACTCCTTGGGGGTCAGGAAAAGAATGAACTGCGTGCAGGGAGGGCTCATTTATCTTGAGCTTCGGAAGTGAGTGGGTGTGTTTAGTTTTAACCAGGCACGTTTAGGTTTCTGTAATTAGCATGGATTCATGATGCAGTATTTTCTCTCTCCTTTGCAGCTGGTCCTTTGGGGTGTTAATGTGGGAGATCTTCACTTTAGGGGGCTCGCCCTACCCAGGGATTCCCGTGGAGGAACTTTTTAAGCTGCTGAAGGAAGGGCACAGGATGGATAAGCCAGCCAACTGCACCAATGAGCTGTAAGTGTGCCATTGCTTTGCCCATCTGTCACTCTCCTTCTGACTTGTTTCTGTTTCCAAGGCCCTGATTTTCTAAACATGTTCTAACAAGAGGCATCGCTAAAGATCTCTAGGTTCAATCTCTGAGCTAGATAGTGACACTGGCAGCCATTACTTGGCCAGAAGGACGACTGTCCTGCCGAAGTGTCTGAGTAGGCATCTGGCTGCCCGGGGCAGGCCATGGCAGCCAGCCACCTTCCGAGCCCCGCACTGTGCCCGAGAGCCACGAAATACACATGGATCAAGCTAGAATGCCACGGGGTTGCCCTTGCGGAGTATAGGGGTCATTTCTGACCTCAGTCATGGCCAGTAGAAAATTCCGGAGCATCTTTGACCATTGAAAATCACGATGACAGATGGATATCAACTGCCCTTCCTCAGCGCTAATGAACTAGTATCTGGTTGCCTGTGTTTGATCCATATTTTAGGGCAGAGAACTAGAAATGTGTCCTGGTACCATCCTTAAGGTACTCTGTTTGACTATAAAGCCATGAGCTGGTTTCTAGAAAAGTCTACCTCGCTCTGTAAGTGGACTTCTGTTGTGTTAGTGACGCGTGCCTTGTGCAATAGAATCAATGCTTTGAAAAGAGGACTTCCCCCCCCACCCCCCCAGGACTGGGGGAGGGCTGGTGAACTAAGAAGGTGATTGTCCCAGAGACTGCTCTCCATTGTGTGTTGCTTCATGGGGATTTATATCAGTAATCCCATGAGTGCTTTTTAGTGTACAGTGGACGTCTGATGAATGGCCACATTTTATAGTATATTATATAAAGGCATTTATTGTGCTCTTTGTCATGCCTATTGCCTTTTCTAACATAGAGGACCTGTCGAAACTCATAATCGAGATAAGGCCGAGAAGCTTGGCCTACCAAATTGCCAATCAGGTCATGTGAAGCCCCGTACGGGCGACAGATTAGTTCATGAAAACCTTACCTTAAACGTTTGGTTTTCAAACTTGACTTTTTAAGCTGAGGTATCTCTAACAACTAGAATCTTTCAAAGAAATCCCAAGAGCCAGGTGCTTGGTGGCTCCTGCCTATAATCCTGGCTACTCAGAAGGCGGAGATCTAAAGATCATGCAAAGCTAGCTCAGCCAGAAAAGTCTAATTAACCAGCAAAAAGTTAAAGGTGGAGGTATGGCTCAAGTAGTAGAGCCTTGAGTGAAAAAAGCCAGTGACTGTGTGAAGCCCTGAATTCAAGCCCCAGTATGAGCACACACAAAACAAAGACGTTAAAAAACAAAACGAAACAGTGAAGGCAGGCAGGCAGGCGAAGTGTGGCTCAGGTAGCAGTGTTTGTAGAGGAGGAACAGACCCCAGGAACCGGTCATAAGCAGTTTCCTTCTTCCACCCCTAGGCATGCCTAAAAGTGAGTTATTATCATAGTGCCAAGCTGGCATAAGGCTAGCCCCAAGAAGTGTAGCTGAGTCTTTCTTTCTGTTTTGTTGTTGTTGTTTGCAAGTCCTGGGCTTGAACTCAGGGTCTGGGCACTGTCCCTGAGCATCTTCTGCTCAAGGCTAGCACTCCCTCATTTGAGCCACAGCGCCACTTCCATTTTTTTTTTCTTTCTGTTTATATGAAACTGAAGAATTGAACCCAGGGCTTTGTGCATGTTTCTGCCACCAAGCCACGTTCCCAAGACCCAAGCTGGGTCTTTCTTGATGCAGAGATCTCCCTAAAGTATTGTAGAGAAGTGAAGTGTTTTGTTTTTTTTTAGGGGCGGGGGTTGTTGTTGTAAAATCAAACTGGCCTTCAGAGAACCGGCATTAGATCTTTGAAGAAACCAAATAACCATACACTCCTCATCACATTGCTCAGAAAGCTCTAAAGGGTTTTCGTTAAGGCACATCTCCATACTGCCTGTGAAGGCTGACTCTAGCTGTGTATCCAGAGCTAATGAGGTTAATTCACCAAGGAAATCCATTTTTTCCAGGTATATGATGATGAGGGACTGCTGGCATGCTGTGCCTTCCCAGAGACCAACGTTCAAGCAGTTGGTAGAAGACTTGGACCGAATTCTAACCCTCACCACCAATGAGGTGAGTAAGAGAGAGCCTCCTTCCAGAAGCCCGAGGACCCTGCCTGGCTTTGAAGAGAAGCTCGTATTTCTTTTTAAATGCAAGCTCCCTTGTTGGAGTCTGTGGTTGAGTTTATCATTCTTCCATGGGGGTCAGACAGAGGTAAACTCCATGCTCCTGTTCAGGCTCAGTCTTTTCTCCAAACTACATCTTGTGAATTCTGATTCAAGGGACCAGAGACCCAAGGGCCCCCCTGAGATGCACTTGCGATGACTGTGGTACTGTGGCCTGGCTCGCAGGGGGACGTGGGAGAAGGGGAGGGAAGGGCAGCTGTAGCATTTTGAGGGTATGGAGGAAGGAGCTCTGTGTTCTGTACTTGCTTTACGCTGAGCCTTGGTAATTAGTGTGAGAACTGACTGTGCCTGCCAGGATGTGGTGAGGGTCTGATCCTACCTTCTGTCTGTCGTGCTGTCTTCCGTAATCTGTCTGGCAGAGGCTGTGGCTTATATTTCTTTCTGTCTGTACGCATTCCACTTCCTGTAATGAGCGACTTTTGGGGATTTGTATGGGAGAGCTAGTACCTTTTGAGGAGACACTCATTCTTCAGCCACTTAATACCCACTACATGTTTGTGGCAGCTACAACATGCAGATAAAATGATCTTTAAGTTTATAGGATGAACATACTCTGAGCAAGAAAGGTGATCAACCCACAATAGCATGTGTGTGTGCGCGCTCACACGTACACATGCTCACATGCGCGCATGCACATGCATGTGCATGCACATGTGCGTGCCAGTACTGGGACTTGAACTCCGAGCCCAGATGCTAGCTTTTTCAATCAAGGTTGGTGCTCCACCACTTGAGCCACACCCTTAGTGGTTAATTGGAGATTAAGTCTTATGGACTTGACTGCCTGGGCTAACTTCAAAGCGCAATCCTCCAATCTCAGCCTCCTCCTGAGTAGCGAGGATTATAGGGGTAACTGCTGGCACTCAACTTAACAAATTGTTAGTGATTTTTGTGATACTCAATAAAGAGCAGCATTTTTTTTTCACACAGAAGAAAGAAAAGAGACAGTTGTCTTCACTACAAAAGATTGAAGAGAACTAATGCACTTAATTTCTGATTTAGAAAATTATTTGATTGATCTTTTTCTTTAAAAGGAAAAAAGGAGAAAAATTCTTCCTAAATCAAAAAAAACTTTTTAAGTCAAATGTAGTGATATGAACCCTTCACCAAGCAACTTTATCTTGCGATTCTGACTGTGGTTTGTGCTGAATAAAGGGAGAGATTGCATTTAAATGAACACAGCTGACCTTCAGAAGTTGAAAGGAAAGAAATAGTTCAAGGGAGAAAGAAAAAAAAGCCTAACTTTCTTCTTCTGCCAAAACTGTTGTTTCTAGTATAAGTTCCTTTAACCCTAGGCTGGGGATCCAGTGATACTCCTTTTTTTTTTTTTTTTCCTATCAGATCTGAAAAGTTTATGGCTTCATTTAGAAACTGGGGGGGGAGGAAGAACCCCACTAAAGTTGTCTTTTAATAATCCCACACATCCATGTCAATGTACATATTTATACATTTACATTTCAAGCAAGTCTGTTCAGACTGAAATTTATATGTAGTACCCTAACCTAAGAATGTAGAATACCATATTGTCTAATGGATATAAAAATCGAAGGTTGCTTTCCTTCTGAAAATCATTACCATATGCTCAAGAAAAATGGTTCCATTTAGGACAAAATTTCATTTTTATCATTGTAAGCAAAAAGCCCTCTTTTGATGTGGTGGGCGTGTTTGCCTCTCGTTATGCAGTTCCTGCTGAGGCCCTTGGAACCGACGCACTCCCTTCTTGGATAGGGACTCTTTCTTTTGCCAACCCTGGTGATAAATTATAGTAGGGTTTTTGTCTCTTAACATGTGTGGTGGCCAACATTCCACAGGCTCTTTCCTGATAACACGGAGGCCGTTGGAGCTGTGGTCTGTTACTTTTTGCCCCCTCTTCGCAAAACCACATGTCAGAGAGAGTGACTGGCTTCTGAGTGTACGAGCAGACTCACCCCGCATGCCAGCTCTGTCAAGACAGCAAGACCAAGAAATCTTTTTTTTTTCTCTTGTAGCTTCAAGGCAGGGTCAGCAAATGCTTTCTGAGAAGGGCCAGAGCATAAACATTTTCAGCTCCGAGGGCCATATGGTCTCCGTCGAAGCCCTGCTGCTGTCACTGTGTGAGAGCCACCCAGACTCCATGTAAATGGGTGCATGTCTGGCCTCCCCTACAGCTTTATCGGCCCTGAAACTGGAATTTCGCATAACTTTCTATCACTTTGTCTTTTGGATGCCATAGGATAGGACTCTTAATCTTTTTTCCACCTGTTTACGAATGTCTGATAACTATTCTTAGGGCTAGGTGCCAGAGGCTCCTGCCTGTCATCCTAGCTACTCCAGAGGCTGAGAGCTGAAGATTGCCGTTTAAAGCCAGCCCAGGCAGAAAAGTCTGAGACTTTTATCTCCAATTAACCAGCAAAAAGCTAAGAATAGAGGTGTGACTCAAATGGCAGAACATCAGTAGCTAAGGGAGAGCTAGAGGCCCTCACAAGCCTCAGTACACCTACCCTCTCTCTCTTTTTCTCTGTCTCTCTTCTCTTACTCAGACACGCAGGCGCACGCACCCACGCATCCTCAGTTGTTCATTCATGGGCTGTACAAATGCAGGCAGAGGCTCACGTCTTGTCCTGCTGGAAGGAAGTGACCCAGGGCGACCTCAGCAGCAACACTAGCGGGGTGTTGTGGGGAACAAGAAAATGTTTGAGTTTCAAAACCCTGAAACTTCTATTTCTCTCAGCTTTCTCTTAATGGCCCATATGGATTTAACATCCATGAGTGTACCCCAGCCTTTTTTGAACCTGTTTACATTTTTAACTCAAGAGCTTCTGAGAGTAATGAATTACATCTGTGACAGTACGCCATGAATGGGCAGTATTCCCCTTCAATTATTCTAGAAACTGCAATAGGAAAATACAATTCAGAAAATAAGGTATTTGTGGCCTTACTATTTAAAGGGGTGCTGTTGAGCTTTTCTATTCTGCTGAGAATTGGGCTGAGAACTTCAGGGCACTGTGGAGCCAGGATGCCCCTATGTTACTATAGGTCACTTCCCAGTACTCACAGCGCCACAGTTGTCTGTCTGTCTGTCTGTCTATCTGTGTCTGTCTATTTATATTTGGTCTTGAACTTAGGGCCTCAAGCTCTCCCTTGGCCTTTTTTGTTCAAGACTGGCACTCTGCCACTTGAGCCACCACTCCACTTCCAACGTATTGCTAATTCATTTGAGAGAAGTCTCACAGACTTTCTGCACAGGCTGGCTTTGAACCACGATCCTCAGATCTCAGCCTCCTCTGTAGCAAGGATTGCAGGCTTAAGCCATCAGCACCCATACAGTTTTATTGGTTTTTTCGGTTTGTTTTGTTTTTGCCAATGCTTTATTCAAGGTGGGTTCTAAGAGGAAAATGAAGGGTAGCTCAGTGAATGAAGTGGGGGTTTTGTGCAGTCAGGGTGGTTGGGGCTAACTTAAAGCTTTCAGAGATTCCCCTGTCCTGTCCCCAGTCTGATACCCATGTCAAAGGGGGCTGTGTTTGAAATAAGACTCTTCTCTTCCCTCTTTCAGGAATACTTGGACCTCACTCAGCCTCTCGAACCATATTCACCTTGTTATCCTGATCCAAGATGAAATAAAACGTCTCTCTTCCCTTCTTTCAGGAATACTTGGACCTCTGTCAGCCTCTCGAACAGTATTCTCCTAGCTACCCCGACACAAGGAGCTCTTGTTCTTCAGGAGATGACTCTGTATTTTCTCCGGACCCCATGCCTTACGAACCCTGCCTGCCTCAGTTTCCACACATAAATGGCAGCATTAAAACATGAGCGAATGTGTTTTCCTGTCCTCAGCCAGGAACCTACCTACACTGAGCATGGAGGCCAGGCTTCCCCGAGCCTGCCGCCTCCACTTGTATATACGGATCAGAGGAGTCAAGGATTGGAAATGTAATCGGCACATGTGGAAAGGGTTCTACAGTTTGAAAACATGTCTTCTTTGCCAGGAGAATGTTTCTGGAACCATGGACAGCCGCCATGTCACCCTCTGACCCACCACGGGGACTGGCTAGGACCCAAATGGACTCAAGGCAGACACCCACTGCCTTCCTTGTTAATTTTGTAATAATTGGAGAAAATATATTTCAGCACACACTTACAGAGCACAAAATGCAGTATATAGGTGCTGGATGTATGTAAATATATTCAAATTATGTATAAATATATATTATATATTTACAAGGAATTATTTTTTGTATTGATTTTAAATGGATGTCCCAATGCACCTAGAAAATTGGTTTTTCTCTTTTTTTTTAATAGCTATTTGCTAATTGCTGTTTTTAGACAGAATTTCTTAATTTTCACCTAGCAGAGGTGGGAAAGATACTTTTGCTTTCAGGGAAAATGGTATAACATTAATTTATTAATGAATTGGTAATATACAAAACAATTAATCATTTATAGTTTTTTTGTAATTTAAGTGGCATTTGTATGCAGGCAGCACAGAAGACTAGTTAACCTATGGCTGGAACTTAACTAATTGTCAGATCCTTTGAGAAGAGAGAGATTTAGAATATATGACTAATCTGGGGGGAAATGGAGTTTTGATTAATTTGTGTTTAAACTCTGCTGTCAGATGATTGTGCTTAAACATCCTAAATGCCCGTGTTACAGGAACCCATTTCTAAGAGGGTGTTTGGTTTTGGTATGCAGCTCAGTCTTCAGGCCAAAGCAACAAAGATTCAAACTGGTCCAAATGACACCAGCGTCCTCCTTCAAGATGCCTTAATCCAGTCTTTGAGTTTAGACACCTCAGTGGAAATGACAGCAGAATGGGTTCTGTCCGGCAGCTGGCTTTCTGCCCTTGAATTGTGCATTTCCCAGATTAGTCTGTGCTTTCTCCCATGGATTTTGATCATGGTTTCCAAGTTCTCTGGCATCAGATAATAGCCTTTGGTGATTTTCGAGCCCTATCAGGGAAAATTGAGACATAAGGATCATTCTGCTGAGAATGTGGAGAATCCTTCCATCTTCCTATGGGATTGATTGCTTCTGTCTACTTTAGACGAGACCTCACCGAAAGATCTGGCCTGATACCAATATCAGCCTAAGTACCACCATGTCGTGAATTCCATATTAACATCTGGTTTGCCTTTGGCAACACCTACTCACTTTGCTATAGCCACGCTACGTGAATGCAGATCACACTGATTTTATGTGTTACAAAATTGGAGAAAAGTATTTAATAAAGCCTGTTAATTTTTATACTGACAATAAAAATGTTTCTACAGATATTAATGTTAACAGGACCGAAATAAATGTCACGCAGCTTATTTTTTTAAGACTTGTGTCTTACCAAATGGCTTCCTCTGCTGGGGCAGGGTGGGGTGGAGATGGTATACTGGGTGGAGTGAATTTGGGAAAGACAAAGCTGAAGGCTCTTTAACACTAGCTGGTGTGACTCGCACAGGGGTTGAGTAGGACCAGCGGTCTGGGGACAATTGGATCCAGTAGAAAAACCAGAAGTTGCTTCAGCCCTGGCTGGGTTGCTTACCTGTGTGCCTCGGGGGGCGAGCCGTGGTTCCTTCCTGAGTCTTAACCTGTTCCCTGGGTAAGCAGCAGGACAGAGCTATAGAGCATGCGGCAGCGAGGTATTGAAGAGGAGGAATGCCCAGAGCTCCTGCAGCCCAGGGACCTCCAAATCTTTCTGGTTGGTTTCATCATGATTTTCTTTTGGGGTCCGGTTGTGGGGCTTGAACTCTGGGCCTGGGCGCTGTCCCTCAGCTCTTCAGCTCAAGGCTAGCACTCTACCACTTGAGCCACAGCGCCACTTCCGGCTTTTTTCTTTTTGCTTATGTGGTGCTGAGGAATCAAACCCAGGGCCTCGAGCATGCAAGGCAAGCGCTCTACCACTGAGCCACCTTCCCAACCCATCATCATGATTTATGGAGAGTAGACTGTACTTTGGATTTTCCCAAAAGAAACATGGATTCTTTTTTATTTTTATATATACCACTCAAGATGCCAAAGAGAACTGAAGTGGTTTGCTTGTGTGATTCCATGTCGGTACTGGGGCTTGAACTCAGGGATGTGTGCTCTCGCTTGGCTTTTTCACTCAAGGCTGGTACTCTACCACCCGAGTCACAGCTTTGCTTATGGCTTTTTGCTCATTTATTGGAGATGAGTCTCGTGGATATTTTTTTTCCAGGCTAGTTTTGAACCTTAATCTTCAGATCTCAGCCTTTTTGAATAGCTAGGATTTCCAGTGTCCTGCAAGAAATGAAGTTTTGCCGGTCAGTTAACACATGGATGGATGACCCAGAAGGCCAATAAGTCTTGGAAGGCTCTTCCTTCTTCCCAAGACAGAGGGAGGAGACAGGCTTCTTCCCCTTCTTCGCCCCCCAACTTCAGCCACATTCTTGGCTGGCATGAAATGATGCTGTCCCTGGCGGTGGAGTGAGGCTGAGGGTTTCACCAGGCCCAAGGAGAATGCCAACAAGAATAGCCCTGTTCTGCATCTGCCATGCTCCTGTGCTTCCATTTCTTATTGGTAGAATTATGATCCTATTAAATGATTCAAAGACAAGGTGTATGAAGCTAGGGGTGTAGCCCAAGGATTGTGTGTTTGCCCAGAGAGCCTGAGGGCCTGGGTTTGTTTCCAGTGCTGTAAAATAAGGCACGTGAAAGCCTAAAAGTAGTGTCACCTGATAAGCACATGGGCACAAGGCAATTCTTATCTGAATCAGGCCTGTGTGTGTGTGTGTGTGTGTGTGTGTGTGTGTGTGTGCACGCGCATGTTCGTAGTCAGGATTGTCCCACCCAGGTGTATGTGTAAGCTGCTATCCATCTACCTTAGCACTTCCCACTGTTGCCAGGATTACAGATAGGTTCCATCTCTATCAGCTTCCTTCTAGGAAAATGGAGTCTTTTTCTGCCCAGGCTGGTCTACAATGACAAACCTCCCATATATACATATAGTCTCCCACAGTTTGGGAACACAGATGTGCACCACTGCACCCATCTATGGATTGAGAAATGGCCTTTGAGAAGCCATCACTACTCTCAGCATTCTAAAAGGAAAACACCGTACCCCAGAGCAAGCTCTTCCCATTTCTCCTCCTGGCTCATATGCTGTGTGTAGATTTCCTATAAGAACTCGTACCATATGTGGCCCTTTTGTGTCTTGTTTTCCTCACTTAACACCTTATAGCATGTATTATTTACCTCATTCCTTTTCATTCCCAAGTTACAGTCTGTTGTGTGGCTATACCATTCATCCATTGATAGACAGTTGGGTTGTTTACTAGAGAAGTGTTTGGTCACGTGTCTTTCTCTTGGGTAGATGCATAAGAGCGGAATTGCTGGGTCATATAATAATGGTGTCTAGTCTTTAGAGGAAATTGCGTCATTTCTAAAACATCTGCATTCTGTATATTCCCACTAGCAGCGTCCTGGTTTCTCCATGTCCTTGCTAACACTTGCCATCGTAGTATGGCATTGTAGTGGATGAGGGAGGTGCCTTCTCATGGGTTTAATAATTGGGGAGAAAAGATTCCCTACCGGAGTTTACAGAAGATACTTTGATGAATCGGTCTGGTTTCCACAGGTACAAAGTGGCTGAGATAGCTGAGAAGCCCTGTGGGTCCTTGTGTAGAAAGGCTGGAACACTGGTCTATTCCATGTTTGTCATTTGGGGTCAGGGAGGAAGGAAGCACAGCCTCGTGATTCAAAGACTCTTCCTAACTGCTTCTCTACCTCAGATCCCAGTATTCTTCCAAATACAGCCTAATGACCTTGAGCAATCCGTGGGGACTGATTAATGCACCATTACTTATGTATGCACATCAGAGTCCTTTTTACCCAGCCTGCATTTTGATGTCGTTTATTTTTTGATGTTTTTAGAGACGAAGGCACAGTTTATCTTCTCTCACATTTCATCCCCAGGAAGCCTTGAAGTGACTTGGCTGTCTATTCTGGGCAGGGATAGCAGGTTCTAAGTGACATTCTGGAATAGCGCCCTACCTTGTGCCTGTTTTCCTGGGGTTTCCAGGGAGTTTGAATGAACCCCTCAAAATTGCCTTGCAGTCCTGTTTCAAAGGTCTCATGCCCTGGATAGACAGTGAACAGGCCAATCAGTGGGGATCACTGAGAATCGCCATATAAATAAGTCCATAATTAAAAAACAGGAGATTCCTGCAGGTTTGCTAAGTGGAGGTCCCAGAGCATGAAGCAGGATTTAGCTTAAAACATATAGATAGGCTTTTTTTTTTCTTCTGTGCCTAAGAAGGCTAAAATTTCTTGTCCTTTTGGAGTGGGCCTTCCTTTTCAGGCTCTTTGTCTTCTTCCCATTCTTTTGTTGAAGACAGTTGAATGAATTCTATCTGTATCCCTTGCAAGTCAAAATCCAAAGCCCAATGTCCTTAGAAATGGACAAGGCACTTAAGATATGAACAAATTAGGAACAAAAGAAGGTTGGACATATTGGTGCATGCCTATAATCCAGGCACCAAAGGTTTCTTGGTCTGTAAATATGATGACAAATCATCTCTATATCAAATGGTTATGGAGTTAAATAACTTTTAACTGAAAAGCTCCAACAAGTATATGCTACACAACACTCAAACAGTAGCTGCCCTATCCATCCATCTATCTTCTGTCTGTTATTTACCTACCTACCTATCCATTCATCTGTCAATCACCGTTTATCATCTATCACTTATTTCCACTTTTCTCTGGATATAATCATACAGATATGTGTCTAACTATATATATATATATATATAGGTATATAAACTATAATCTATAAATATTATTGCCATTATAATTGCTAGTCAGTTGCAAATGAGACCATGGTCATGTCTCTCTATATTTTAAATAGTAAACATCTACCGTGCTTTAAATCATTATCAAAAATCATGAAATTAACTGGGCGCCAGTGGCTCACGCCTATAATCCTAGCTATTCAGGAGGCTGAGATCTGAGGATCACAGTTCAAAGCCAGCCCGGGCAGAAAAGTCTGTGAGACTCTTATCTTCAATAAACCACTAGAAAACTGGAAGTGGAGCTGTGGCTCAAGAGGTAGAGTGCTAAAGAGTGCAGGGACAGCGCTCAAGCCCAGAGTTCAAGCCCCACGACCGACCAAAAAAAAATCATGAAATTATGTTCATAACATTCAATCTATTATGTTCACCTTTAAAAACAACCATTTGTTCTACAAACACAAACCTGTCAGTCTTAAAGGGACAGTTACATACTATGAGAATAGCATGGACCACGTAAGTGGTCCATGTGGTTCTAAAGGCAGACTAATGATGGTGGCAGAGGTTCCGGGGTGGGAAGGGGCTGCAGAGGGGAACTCTCTGGGCCCAGGTGGTATAGTGACAAGAGAATCACAGTGAGTATCAGGGCAGGAGGAAATCTCACATGGAAAACCAGGCTTAGTGCTGGGTTGTTGAAGCCTTGGGACTGTGTATCTCAGGGGTGTGTCTCCCTTTGAACCTGTGGGAGACGTGGATCTAGCCCGGGTCACCCTGAAGGGTTGGAAAGGCTGTGACAGACCTCTCCTTTCCACAGGGAAGTTCTTCAAGGGCCTGGTTGACCACAAGGAATCTCATTCTTCAGTGTTTCCCATAGAAGATGGCAGCTGGGCCTTCACCCAAACTCGAGGTGGTCTCTTCACATTGGATTGTGACTCGGTGCCTCTTGTGGGAAAAGGTTGTGTGTGACTCTGCACACATCAGCACAGCAGGGCAGGAAATCAGAAACCTGCTCTCTTTTCTGCCATGGTCTTTTCTCTCCAGGAGTTTGCTTTTCTTACAGGATGTAGATGGAACCCAAAATGCACAAGTCTCTCATCCATTGCTAGCCGTCACCCAGGGGCAGCCAACGCTGTGAGGGAAATAGTAAAGTCAATATACTAAACCAAAACCCCTGCAGTGACTCACTAGGCTGGATGTGTGGGGGAACCGTGATCTGCTAGGCGTAGATCAGGAGCGAACGCACCACGGCCCACAACCAAACTAACCCTCTGCCTGCTTGTTCTGCTGTTAGCAAGGAGACATTTGAAAGTGGTCGAAGAACATGTTTAAAAGAAGATAGAACTTGAGACAGGGACTAATGATATAAAAACCCCAATTTCAGAATCCATGAATAAAGATGTATTGGTGGACCATGCCCACTCATTTACATAATGCTCGTGCTGGCTTTAATGCTATCAGAATGAGCCCGAGAGCAGAGGCAAAGCTGAAAATACTCACTACCCTCCACTTCTCCTTAGGAGTTCCACTAGCCCGGCTTATGTAACGAGGTACCAGTTGG